GGGGGGGGAACACATTTGTCTGATTGTGTTATTTGTGTTATTTGTGGGGATTGTGTTATTACACAATAATGAAATACACTTGTTGGTATTTTTACTTAATTAATAATATTTCGAGGTTCTTATATACTGCTCCATCAAAACTAAGGTTGTTTGTCATCTCAATGCAGTTCACAAATTATTATCTATGGTTATTGGACCTTTGCAACCAATCAATATTCTTCTCAACTCCAAGGGGAGCATAGAGCTGGTGCTGCCATTTAGGCGATCGCAGCTAGCATTCAACAATTCCAGCACTGCCCAATCACATACTCATTTATAGCTTCGGTTACGAGCCTGGTGTCCTACCACTAGACTAGCATGCCTCCTCATTATATACTATTTGCAATATATGGGTGGGCTTATTACCAGGCATTGTCTTAATTACATATGAATATGGTATTGTTGTACAATTTCCCATGATATCATGGAAAGTACATTTTATACTTCCATGTGACGTTAATTTGAAAATCTGTTTTATATATTTCAGTTTTTCTCCAAGTTCTCTGTGCCGGGGTCTGGCCCCAACACAGGGATGACGTCTGGGGTGATATATAAAGGTTACATTGACGATCCCTCCAACACTGACAATGCCTGGCGAGAGGCCGAGGTCTGGAACCTCCACTACAGAGGTGGCAGTATACTGGACGATATAGTTAAGGAGGTAAGACAGCTACATTATATACTAAAACTCTCCTCTCAGTCACTTACTGCAGGGTGTTGTAATGTATAGTATTGGTAGTTAAGAACCATCGATGTAAACTGTCACCAGTGTAACTAACTTTAGTTGTGTGCTGTATTACTTTCTCCCACAACTGCCATAGGTTTCCTCTGTCCCGTCTTAATGGATAAACCTGCTAGGAGTTGGTAAGCATTGTTGGTTACCCACTTGTGGCTGACACCCTGGACATTGGTCAATCTTCTAATTATGACGTCAGGTAACAATTCCTTACGACGTCATCTTCCATTGTGACGTCACATTTCACGGCAATTGCTTCCCAGATTGGAAACACGAATAATGTATTTCCAATATCTGAACGATGCAGAAGAAAAAGATCCTCAAATTTGTTATGGTTGATAATCATGTTTATCTAGCTCAGGTTAGTTAATTTTAAAATTGAAAAAGCCACTTGATAAACCTTGTGTCTTATAATTAGACAATTTTAAAATTAACAAACTCAAGTTAGATAAACATGATAACCAACCATCACTCGTTGGGGAACCTCTATGTACGTATCTGTACACTTTAAACAGACAATCTTGACTCCTTTTCCTGAAAACTTCTATCTTCAAAAAAATATTACAAAAAGTGCTTTAAATATACAAGAAAAGGTGCTTGTATTTTGTCCTGAAAGATTATTTATGAAACGTGTTCATTTCATTTTTCTTTTTCTTGAACAGAAAGAAAAGAAGTGGAAGGAGGCGTCCTCCTACACAAAGCTGTATGGCAACCAAGACATGATCGTGAAGGAGGCTGCTCTCCTACATGGAGCTTACTACTAGTCTTATGTACACACCTCTTTTGATTGCCGCCAGGGTGACTCAGCTTTGGCCAAAACTCCCAAAAGACATTCCTGTACACTAAACCTGACGAAGAAGAACCATATCTAGTCATTGTGTCGTCTACTGGTTGTCGTTGTTGCTTCTTGTCTCGGTGTTTGGCGATTCTTTAAAGCAATATGGTGCAGCTGCAAACTTAAGGGTGTATACTGATTGATTGATTGATTGATTGATTGATTGATTGATTGATTGATTGGTTGATTGATTGATTGATTGATTGATTGATTGATTGATTGGTTTTACGTTCGCTTCACTTCCAAGTAGTTCAGTTATCCAGCAGACGAAGAAAAGACGGGGAAATGATTAGAAGGGATAAAGTATGGAAGGAAGGAATAGAAAAGGGAGACAGGATGTATACTATCTAACTATGACATTTATACTAACCTCCTTTCTAAAGAGTTCTACTACTTTAACTTAATTCATTAATATCACATATGATAGTTATATAAGAAGGTGGATTATTACATAGTGCTAATTGGAATAAAGGAGATAAGTCTTGCACTTATCACCTTAATCTATTAAAAGTAACATATACCGTTAAGGGAGATAAGTCTAATAAGTTTCTGTAAAAGGAAGCATATATTAAAAAGATAGATACTTTCATGTGTCTGTGCAGCACATATCCGAATCAGAGATAATTCGAGCCATAACTTTGCTAGTCTGAGTAAGGTAGCACAAATGTACTAATGGGTGATAACAAGCACTAATTTCATGAATCTGTAAATGCAAAGGGAGATAACCACATGTATCTATGTGAGCTAGCATTATATCCTGAAGGAAGATAACTCTAAACACTAATTGAATGCATCTGTGCTGGATGGCGTATATATTATCATAAGTGTTCTGACCTGTCATCCTTGGTAACGCATAGTTTATTGATGGTACACTAATTCTGTATCACGCAAATCACTGCCTTGTCCCTGAGAACTCAATCAGGTAATTTTGAAGAAAAAATGTACCCTTTTTTATGTTAAAACAAAGATATATATTTGAGCTAATATTAAATTAAATTTTATGTCGGAGGCTATTGGTATTTTCAAAAAGTTTGAAATTTATTTATATATGATATTTATATTTTAAGCCCATGATTATGATGACCTTAACTCATTCACCCCTGAAATTTTATATTGAACTATTCCAACCTTTGTATTGGAAGAGTTCAAATGTGTCTTCAGGGGTGAATGAGTTTATATGTTTCTCCTGTCACCTGTGTGAACATGTATATAAGTGTGTAGAACGTTTCCTATTACCTGGACCTGTTTAACGATCCCTGTGCCATTGCTAAAAACAAATAATTTTCAATAAATCATTTCTGAAAAGAAAACCATTCCTTACAGCACTGTTATGAAAAATAACGAGGAACAGTTGAACATAAAAACAAATTTAACAGCAGTGTTCTTAGAGTAAAAATGCACGGAGCTAGACTGAGATTCCAACCCTTGACTTTTGATCACGGTACTCTCACTCTAACCAACCGAGCTCCCCAATCAGCAGTAGATAATGGTGATGTCTATTCAGGCCTGTTTTCAGTTGTATCCGAAACGAAATAAAGAGAGGTAACTGTTTGTCTAAAAAACCTATTGTGAAATTTTCTAGTTTTTTACCTGCAGTGGGACAGGGATCTTTAAAATTGATTATATGTGTGTATAACACACATGGCTGAATGTTTCTGTACCTGTGTAAAAAAATATGTGTTTAGAACACACTAGGGTGAATGTCTCTCGTGTTTTGCCTGTTAGCCATATATTTTTTGGAGGTTGAATATCTGGTGTATTATAGACTAGCCTTATTGTCACAGTATTGCCTCTTTATAGATTTATTCTTCAAACAATTTCAGATTTATTTTTCAACTTATGTATCATTTTTAATAATATAAATGAAAAGGTTATTGTCCATTAAACTTCTGTTACGAAATTATTGTTTTGTATTATTATTTTTGCAGGTGTAGACATCTGCACATGTATTTTTACAATCAGTATGAATGGATTTACAACTGTCAAGCACACTGTTTTTGCTCTGATAGATAAAATTATCTAGTCAAAAATCATTAATATGTTGTTGGTCTTAGTTGCATTATCGAGGCATCTTACTTACTTTTATATCTATTTTTGCAGCAAAGAGATTAACGAGATTAACGAGATTATTGTTGTGTGATGTTTTGAGAATATTATTCAACAATGTACCACTCCCTGTATCAAAACATGATCCTGATATCATCCCAAAAGCTTAAACATTTCACCCCTATGTAACTTGAATAAACTCTACCATCCATTGATTTGGTTAAGTCCATTATGGTCTACAGTGGTGAAAGCTTAAAGATGAGGGTTAATAGTGGTCAAGGTTTGCTGCAGGGCATTAGTTTGAGTATTATGGTATGGCGCCGTCCATCTGTCCGTCCGGCGTTTTAAACCATTGTTTGTCCGGCAATCTCCTCCTACATTTTTCGACCGATCTCTTTGAAACTTGGTACACATTATAATCATAAAGTAATTGCCCTTTGTTCATTTCAGTATTTTATTATTTGTCCGGAGATCTCCTCCTACATTTTATGACGGATTTCTTTAAAACGTAGTAGGCTTAATAATCATAATATGTTGTTGTGTTTCCTTGAAAAGAGTTTTGATTCAACAATATTTGCAAAAGTTATTGCCTTTTGTTTATTTCAGTATTTGATTTTTGTCCGGCAATCTCCTCCTATATTTTTCAACGGATCTCTTTGAAACTTGGTATACATTATAATCATGATATGAAGTTGTGTTTCCCTTAAAAGAACTTTGATTCAACGATTTTTGCAAAAGTTATTGCCCTTTGTTCATTTCAGCATTTGATTTTTTGTCCAGAGATTTTCTCCTACATTTTTTATAGCATGTCGGCTAACCACTCTTAGAATGATGTAGATAGATCTTATTTCAATTTAAGAAAGTATATAACACTATATGGCATTCGACAGGCGTATATTGTTCTGCCCCGCGGTTCTCTTGTTACCAGTACAATTGGCAAATGATTTGAAATTTGTACGCATAATAATTTGTTTTAAAAGTATTTTAGTGTAGGAAATAAATTGATTTATACATGACGCAATGAAATGTCTTATTTAAATGAGAATGCGTTCCTCACGTTTCGGTCGGGGTATTACTTGCATTTGATGATGGTATAGCCATACCTTATCATCTGGAACATATTCTCATAAAACTAGTGTTATCGATGGTTAATCGAATATTCAAAATGCGATTTTTGATAAATCTCTTAAAATTTACAAATATTTTATTTTGTCTTCAGAATTTCATTTTGCATTCTTAAACAGATTGTTTAAATTTTAACTTTTAATATTTTTGAAATTATTGCATTTTACAATATCATATTACTACTAGAAATGCATACATGACGTTTTGTGTTTACTGCTCAATAGGTTAAGGCCAAAACAAATATTATGTATGTTTCAGGTAAGGTGACTGAAAAGAAATACGATTATAGGTTGGTTGGGATTTTTTTTTTCTTTTTTTTTTATATATATTTTTGAAGTTTTGTGGGGCTCATTAACCAAGTTACAAAAAACACCAAACATAGTTTTAGGTCTTTAAAATAATAATATGGGATTTAAATTTGGTCTTGATACCTGCCTTTGAAGTAGAGAGGGTATATATGTAGTTGCTAAATTGTTCGTCAATTAATTTGTTTGTATACGGTGAACAAGTTATCCCAACACTGGATGAGATAAAATTGTTAGTGTTGGAGGTAAAAACTAGGGTCGTTCGGGGTACCTGAAACATACATTTTTTTCCCGGCCTAACCTGTCGTTGAAAATTTGGGGTCTGATGCCTAAAAGTAACGTGTAACATTTGTTTCTACTTGGATTATATCAATAATACATAACAAGTGTAGACGGATATATATACTACATACAAAGACAAAGACAAAGACAAAGAAAAATATTAAAATAAGCATCTAACATATTTATTATGTGAACACTTTCTTCCAGAAGAATAATGTTATACATGTATTAGTATTAAGCGGCCAGTGTGTAAATTACCTGAATTATGATTGTTATTACACATTTCAGTGTTAATATCAAATGAAAGAATGTCCCATCATGGAAAAAAGTATCTGTATTGTTCTATTTTCTTAAATGTTTGGCTTAAAGCTGTTTCTTTTTATTAATTTAATTTTTAATTTGATAAACCACATAAGCTGTTCTTTTTACGTTGAACATCCAATTCCATATGGTGTTTCCATTGTTAGATCTGTAGTGTTATGATTTCTGTTGTAAAATACTATTGTCGAATAGTAACTGGGTCGTCTATCCACCTTTCCACTATTGTGATGCATTATTTTTTATTTTCGAAATGATTATTGTTTTATATTACATATATATAATGGCCAATAGAATAATTCTATGATGTCAGTCTTTTCAATAATTTTATTTTTTCTATTTTTAAAAAAAAATTAAGCGATTGCCATTAGGTCTTCATAATTATATTCTATTGTTTTGTTGGTATGTATACATTTTGTATATATGGTTCATTATCATCTTTATGTATTGTCCATTAGGTAAACTCCGTAAAAATAATTGATGTATAAGGAAATCTCAATAAATCTATATTTGTTGGTAAATAATATTGTTAATAGTCATCTTGTAGAGTTAATTGTCATCATATACAGATGCATGTTAGCCTGATTGTAGCAAAATCGGGAACCATTCACACTTTCTGTAAACGTGAATTTTCCGTTTACGGAAAGTGTTGACTGTTTCCGATTGATTGTAGCACTGTTGCTATGGGTAAACTCATGGTGTGTGGAATGAGATATGTCAGCCTTTATTGTTTGTAATAAATATGTTTATATTCAGTCTGCTTGATGGTTTTTTTTTATATAAAATGTAAACATATGTCTATGCATCGCAAACAAACTAAAACGTAACCAGAGAGTCAACTAACAAGAACAAAGTTTGACTATTTGATTTGAAAAGACAACAAAAGTTACAGAGGTGACACCAAAAAAATGGAAGAACATCATGAATCACTGAAAACAAAACAAAAACATTGTAGGAAGTTTCAAGAAAACCTTTTCCAAATTAGATTTAGAAAAGCTGCCATTTGAAAGTGCTCTCGGTTCAGAAGGATAAGTGCTCCCTGCCTTGTGTATAGCCCTCGTTTCTCATCTTCAGTCAAATGCAGGACATGTAGGTCACAACAATCTGAAACACAAAGTTGTCAGTATGGTTGATGCTGAAATATCTGCTGGCATAAATGTCTTTTTCAATAAGAAATATTTTACTTCAAAAAGTCTATAAAACATGTTAATGTTATAATACGTTACTGTTTAAAAATTGTTTGATGAGGTTGAGATAACCATTAATGGCTCCCTAAGCTTAATTCGCTCACCAGAACAGGTCACAAGGTTTGCACCAGAAAAGCCCATATTAGTTGGATAAGAAGAGGTTACAAGACTGCCACTTGAGGAGAGGACAAGACGGGCATTACACATGTCACAAGGATGGCACTAGAACAAGTCATAAGGCTGGCACCAGAACAGGTCACAAGGATGGCACCAGAACAGGTCACAAGGATAGCACTAGAACAGGGCACAAGGTTGGCACCAGAGCAGGTCACAAGGTTGGGAATAGAACATGTCATAAGGTTGATATCAGAACAGGGCATAAGGTTGGCACCAGATAAGGTCAAAAGTTTGGCACGAGAACAAGTCACAAGGTTGGCACGAGAACAGGTCACAAGGTTGGCACCAGAACAGGTCAAAAGGATGGCACCAGAGCAGGTCACAAGGATGGCACAAGAATAGGGCACAAGGTTTGCACCAGAGCAGGTCATAAGGTGGCACCAGAACAGATAACAAGGATGGCACCAGAACAGGTCACAAGGATGGCACCAGAACAGGTCACAAGGATGGCACCAGAACAGGTCACAAGGTTGACACCAGAACAGGTCACAAGGTTGGTTCCAGAACAGTTCACAAGGTTGGCACCAGAACAGGTCACAAGGTTGGTTCCAGAACAGGTCACAAGGTTGGCATAAGAACCTGTCACAAGGTTGGGAATAGAACAGGTCATAAGGTTGATATCAGAACAGGGCATAAGGTTGGCACCAGATAAGGTCAAAAGTTTGGCACCAGAACAGGTCACAAGGTTGGGAAGAGAACAGGTCAAAAGGATGGCACCAGAACAGGTCACAAGGTTGGCACGAGAACAGGGCACTAGGTTGGCACCTGAACAGGTCACAAGGTTGGCACCAGAACAGGTCACAAGGTTGGAAATAGAACAGGTCACAAGGATGGCACCAGAGCAGGTCATAAGGATGGCACCAGAACAGGTCACAAGGTTGGGAATAGAACAGGTCACAAGGATGGCACCAGAGCAGGTCATAAGGTTGGCACCAGAACAGGTCACAAGCTTGGGAATAGAACAGGTCACAAGGTTGGCACTAGAACAGGTCACAAGGATGGGAAGAGAACAGGTCAAAAGTTTGATATCAGAACAGGGCATAAGGTTGGCACCAGATAAGTTCAAGAGTTTGGCACCAGAACAAGTCACAAGGTTGGCATTAGGACAGGGCACTAGGTTGGCACCAGAACTGGTCACAAGGTTGGCACCAGAACAGGTCACAAGGTTGGCACCAGAACAGGTCACAAGGATGGCACCAGAACATGGCACAATGATGGCACCAGAACAGGTCACAAGGATGGCCTTGAACAGGGCAGAAGGTTGGCACCAGAGCAGGTCATAAGGTGGCACTAGAACAGGCCACAAGGTTGGCACCAGAACAGGTTACAAGGATGGCACCAGAACAGGTCACAAGGATGGCACCAGAGCAGGTCACAAGGTTGGCACCAGAACAGGGAACAAGGTTGGCACCAGAGCAGGTCATAATGTGGCACCATAACAGGCCTCAAGGTTGGCACCAGAGCAGGTCACAAGGTTGGCACCAGAACAGTTATCAAGGTTGGCACCATAACAGGTCATAAGGCTAAAACCAGAACAGGGCACAAGAATTACGTGATATATTAGTTCCTTCCTCTAAGAATAATGATCTTCATTACCGTACATTTGACGAGATGGATTTCTTCCAGACCACCAGACTGTGATATTGCAAGAGATCATCATAACAGGAGATTTTGGTCTTTATTCACAAAACCGTTTTTGTGCTCAAATTCAGATTGACATTTTGACCTTGTTGCGTGAATACAGGCCCCTGAACTTTCATCTTGATGACTTGAGTGAAGCAGACGCTCGAAACTATATCGAAAGGTCAATGTTTAGTTTTAGTTTGGTTTCATTTTGTTTAACGTCCTATTAACATCTAAGGTAATTTAAGTACATTTGAACGTGCCTCCGTGTGGGGTGTGAAAGTGTGTATGTATGCTGGAGACAGTGTATGTTGGTGTACTTGCCTCCTTGTAATAGTCCGAATTTGATGCTGACTTTATAGCGTGGGGCAATGCCACTATTGAAAATCCAAGCAAGACTCTGGTTCATACATCGGTGACAACTAGGCTAGGCTATGGAACTGTGGTTTTGTACAGAATCGCAAGATCTTTTTAACTGTTTTCAAGAAGTCTTTGAATGAAGAACGTAAGTAAGACTAGCTGATTGCACCTATACAAGTATGTAATAGATAATCATACTAAAAATGATTCACACTGCGTCATACAGCTGTTTCGTCAAAAGAATTTAAGCATATATTTTTAAATCCATATTGAACTAGATATTGATCCCAAATTAAATGTATATGATTCACTGCATGTGTACCGTTTACTGTGCACTACTTTAAAATATTTTACTACCTTTTATCCAGAAGAAAATTGTAATTTCAGATTTGTTAAAGTAAACCGCGTAAAAGAATTTATAAAATTGCAGGTGCTGTATACGTCTGTGTATTATTGTTATTATTATTGTAATATTATGTGAGTAGAAAAATATATCCGATGACCGTATTATGGAACGCTTGTCCCGTTTGTATTTCAAGCATACTTATATTAGCTACTGTGTTGATTTCCTGTTATAGGTCTCGGAATTAAGTGAACATGCACTTAATCCAAGTTAATTATCATCAGTAATATATCCCAATGGCAAGAAAAAAATAGATAAAATGGATGGTACATCATATCAAAAACATCCAAAACTTTAACCATTCACCCAAGTATATGCTACCGGCAATATATCATTACATGGACGTGAGAATTTGTTACAGCTATATTTTGACCTAAACTATAATGTGTTCAGAGTATTTTTACACGTTTTAGATGTTTAGATCACCTTTCACCCATGCGGCCTTTAAATACAACTTGATAACCCTTTGGTCAAACATCATTGCCCTAGGCCTCTGGTTTATTGAGAGGAAGTCGTGACAGCAGCATTGTTACAAACACGGCTCTTAATAAAAATTCTTGTATCTTGTAGTAGGCATATATTGTATGCAGTGAGCGAAACTACTGTTAGCGGTTGTTTGTGGAGCACAGGAAAACTGTATACTTTATCGCCAAGGGTTTGCTATACATGATTTTGAAATTTCTCGGAGACACTAACACTTACTCTGATCTGAGACGTATACATATATGTTTCTTTAACACTTGCTTCGTTAATATACGTGTACGTCTCACCAAACTCTGCTCTAAGTGAAGAGAAACAATTTATCAACCAATTAAATTTCATTTGAGCCTTTTAAATAGATAAATAATTCCCATTAATGAAAAATTGAAATTAATGCATTATGCTTGTAATTGCTTGTTCTATTTTCCATTGAACATGTCCATCAGATCCGGAAATGTAACACCAATACCGTTTCTAATTTATCTTATTTTAGATTCTATTGTAGTGTTTCCGGCTGGCCAAGAACTAAAAGATGAGCTCCAAAAATGCGCCGAGAAAGAAAGAAGCTCTGTCTGAACCAGCATTTGACCTGGAACAACAGTTTATCCTTAGGCTGCCACCGGTAATGAGCATTATATTTGATCAGTAGCAGCATGAAATTAGCGTGAATGATGGACCCACAGCAGATACGGGTTGTGAACTTGTAACCATTGTTTGAGATTCTACTGTCAGACTGTATATCCCCGTTTTAATGTCTTCTTCCTGATACAAGTCGTACTCAGCCTGAGTGTAATTGACTCTGTGTAGCTCAAGACGATATAACGCTTCCAAATAAAACATGGTAAAATAAGAGAAATTAGTAGACTTCACTCAAATTTAAACTATGGCAGTATTGGTCTAAACCAGATAGCCCACACCTGACATCTAGCCTACCTGTCAAAATGTCTTAGTCTGGTATCAGGTCCAGAGGAAACTTCTAAAATGACCCTTGGTTGAGGAATAATACATATTTCAAGAGACAGAAGTGTCATGTCTTATCATGTTAAAATATACAAATATATTAAAATTTGATTGCTAAAACATCTACACTGCACGACTGTTTAATAACATCACTAAGTACTAGTGCATTCCTTAAAACAGAGCAACTGTAGTTAGCTAAAAGAGCGTTTAAAAATATTGAAACCCTACAGACATTCTTACACCATAAATGTCTTCATTATATACCTTTCACATTTTTCAATTCTACAATTCCATTGATACTGTAATTCTGTGTCTTCGTTGCATTGATCCACATGGACATATATCAGCAGGTGTCTGGAGATTCACTCTTTTCTACTATTCATCTTTGAAGGAATTAATGACATGCTAGAAATTTAAAAAAAAATCACGTGTATTTTGATTTGTTGTTCATTTTTACAGGGACCATCCATGGCATTGCGAAGAGATGTCCAAGCAGGCTCTCTGACTATGAAGGATAAATTCAGCATTGAGGTGCAACCAGACCACAGACACTGTGTTGTTAGATATGGCAACGAACTGTTGTATGGAAAGGTGGGTTGTACACATGAAATTGGTCTCAATACTTCCTTCCTTTTCCTCTATTTCTGTTTTCTCATTGCCATTGTTTGTAGTACTTTTGGTTATTATTGGTTCTATATTTAGGCCCTGAATATCCTGATAATGGTAATCTACAAAATCCTTGTAAATTATAATAATTGCTACTTTTTTAAAATTAAATTGATGTTTTAGTTGATGGACCTGCCATGTATAATTGAATCTCATAAAACAGTCGATATGAAGACATTCTACAAGACAGCAGACATTTCACAAGTAAGTTAACGTGTACAGTACATCGACATGCAATCTGATTAACATCATATGTTACATGGCTTCGTTAACTTCGTACTACGCCTGAACATCTGAGTGTGCCGCGGTCAGGGTCACTTTCAGGTGACCTTTTTATTTATAAATACTCATTAAATTTTGACCAATCAGAGACCCTCTTTCAAAAGGGCGCTCGGAGTTGTAACAAATATGGTGGACATTGATGAGAATGATGCGAAAGTTCTGAAGTTATTTGAGATTGATCGTCTGAAACCCGTGGCACTTTCAGATGTTCAGTCGGAGCCATGTAACAGATGATTTTAATCAGATTGATCAACATGTGGAGACACATTAGTCTAGTGGTAGGACGCCAGGCTCGTGACCAAAGGGTTGCAGGTTCGAGGCACGGCACTGTGTTGTATCTTTGAGCAAGATACTTTACTCCACTTGTTCCAGTCTACTCAGCTGTAAATGAGTATGTGGTTGGGCAGTGCTAGAATTGTTGAATGCTAGCTGTGAGCGCCGAAATGGCAGCACTGGCTGTATGCTCCCAAGGGAGTTGAGAAAGATATTGGCTGGTTACAAAGACCCTATAACCACAAACAATAATAATTTGTGAACCGCTTTGAGACGACCTTCAAACTAGGTTGTGATAAAGCGGTATATAAAAACCTCGTATTATTATTATTATTTAACATATCAAAGTGTTCATTTTTTTAAATTTGACCAGGTTCTTCATGTTAAATCTTCATTTTTCATAAGTAAATAAATACTTTTTTCTTAAACTTTATTTTACAACAATTATGAAACAATAGAAATGTTGATAGTCTATTTTACATTATTTCTATCTATTTGTGATATTTTTCCAGATACTAATATGCAGTTATACAGATGAAGAGACGAGTCAAGATGAAAATGAAAGCCCCAAAAAGAAAGAGAAGGACAAAAACAAAAAATACCATTATCCACATGGAGGTTTGTCCTACTATTACTGTTTTGTGAATTATCTTACTCATTCACCCCTTCCTAAACTTGAGCTTCAATATTTTCTTTTAAAATTGTATCTTCCATGCAGATTTTGACCATCCTTGGTCTTTTCTTGACCGTAAAGTGTTGCGATTTTCTAGGTTTATTAAGAATCTTGTTATATTGTCATCTTTAAACTCAATACATTTGAAACCTGATTTTGTCTTTGTAGTGACCCCGCCACTGAAAAATGTTAGGAAAAGAAGATTCAGAAAGACATTGAAGAAAAAGGTTAGAACTAATTCACTGTCAAAGTGATAACTGACGAATGATTACAAAATCTAGTAATTGTTAATCAAACCTATGTGGTGAGAACTGTTTACCTATTGCACTGTCCCTTAAACTATCATAATACTGCCTTTAATCAAATTTTAAAATATTCCAAGATTTTTTTATTTTTTTATTGAAGTTCTCTTCTAGGAGGGACGTATAATGTCCCTGCTTCTAGTAATAAGCATTCAATGATCAATTTGAATGGTAACTGGAAACAACAAGTTCCTGAAAGTGCTATGCAAATTCAATTTCTTATAGTTTTTGGAATATTTCAATGTTGTAAATATAATTTCTCTGTTAAAAGTTGGCTTTCAGTTTAGTCAAAAAGTGCTTATGTTTGTTTTTGACAGTACATGGAACAGCCTGACATTGAGAAGGAGGTGAAGCGACTGTTCCGTACCGATGCTGAGGCCATCAATGTCAAGTGGGAGATCATCGTAGAGGAGGATAAGCCCACAGCAGATTCCAATGGTCAAGGTCAGACGACAATGGAAGGCTGGGTCGGAGGTCAATCTGGTCAGTGGAATCAGAACTCTGGCGGTCTAGACTATGGAAGTAAGTTAGGTTACAGTAGATTTCACTTAATATCATGTTGCTTAATGTCACATTTCTAATAGTATCATGCTTTCTTTATGCACTGTAAATGCAGTGTTTTAATTACCTGTGAGTTGTGAGTTATTAATTTTGAATGAATGACTCACTGCTTTTCAGAACTTATGTAGGAAATGACTGAAGTACTATCTTAAAAAAGGTTGACAAAACTCTAAGGGACTTGCTCTGATAAGGGCACCCCCAGTGATTTTAAAATTAAAAAATAATGCTTATTGTAACATTTCAGATCTTTTCTGTTCCGGTTTTATTATTTCCAAAAGTTGTTAGTATGACAACTTCTACCCTCAAAGTGACAATGTATCAGTTCATATTGAAAGAAAACAAAACTACCGTAGTTGGAGTGAAAAACTTCCTTTGTTAAAAAGTTTTCTGGAGAACTGACGCCAGTAGCTATTTGCCAGGGGTACATATATACAATTTATTGAGTGCCCAGTACACAACAGACTGTCAGCAGGTGAACATAGTTTACCTTAAACATATTACCTGATACTGATTGTCAAGTCAAAAGAATAGCAAACCAAACCCTCAATCCTACACACCTGTGTATTAGCTGAACACCTCACTGCGGATTACTGTATAAAATTGGTTTGTGGCGACACAATTTTCATTCTTTACGATATAAAAACGTTCATTGTTTACAGTTTGATACAGTATAAAAATTTGTGTAAGGTAAAAAGTACAACCAAGTCTTTACAGCGACAAAATAAGATATTATGTAAGAAATTTGTTTGTGGTGAGTGAGATGTTTGAATGATTTTTCATTCTTTACAGTAAAAAGTTTTGTTTGAGGGAAAAAAAGTACAACAAAGTCTTTACAGCCAACGAAATAAAAAAAATATCTTAAGGTTTACAGTATAAAACTTGTTTGTGTTGCACAGATCTGTTTGGGGATCTGAGCAGCTCAGATGAAGACGAAGAGGAGGAGGATGAAGACGAAGAGGAGGAAGAAGAAAAAGACATCAATATCATGGACAGTGGGGAAGAGGATCTGTCTCGGGGAGCCTACATGCAGGGTGTGTCCACCTTCACTGGCAAGGACGACAGCATGTCACAGGACACGATGGCTGGTGGTGACCCCGACTCGGGTATATTTCTGTGATAATCTCAATCTGTTTTAATTACGGTAAATCCTATGTCTAATTAGGCACAGTTAGTGCCATGATTGAATGTCAAGTCAGTGTATCATGGTTTTTAAAGAATTTAAAACCTTTGAAATGCAGAAAAATGTAAAATGAAAAATCAGTTTTCAAATCAAATGTCACTATTTGGAAATTTGTTTTACAGTTGAACTGCAGAGTAAGCTGTCGGAGTTAAAACGCCAGGTGGAGGAGATTCGACAACGGCGGAAATCAACTGAGGATCGTCTGGCTAAAACTGACAGCCCTGTGTTACAGGTAAACTGTCATTAAAGTAAATTACCACATCAAATATAACCAGTGGTATTGAAAGAAAGTACCGCTTCCATGACCAGTTAAATTTTAATCTTGTAATTAAATCTAATTTGGAGAAAAATAAATTGATATGTAAATTCTGTCTTTGCGTATTGCAGAGTTATCTTCTCTTGTGAGTAGGTATTGATTGTAACGTCATTTGTTTGTGAGAGTAACGTCATCAATTTTTGAGAAAACGACGTAATTTTCTAACACAAACCAATGACGGAACAATCAATACCTGCTCACAAGGGAAGATTACTCTACAATACGCAAAGACAGAATACACTATTATGTAAATGGTTTGTGCACTTCAGCAAAGAATACAGGCTATTCTGGACCAGACAATTGAGGAGGAGGAGGAGAAAGGACAAGAGGTGAGCACTGATAACGTCGTATCTGCAAGTAATCACATACAAACGTAATCAAATAATTCTTCACTTGACTACATGATTTAATTATATATCATTTTCATTTTGGCGTATAAAATTAAATCTTCAAGTGTGTAATGTCTGCCAGTCGTTATGACTGCTGCTATATGTCATCCCCACATCAAGTTACATCTTTACCCATTTAAAGTTACATTACAAATATATAATTCAAACCTTACCTTCATAAAGTTGCAGTCTTATCACAAACTAAGTCTAAGTATTTGATTACTTGCTTTATCATTTACCTACTTAAAAAGATCTATTCTGAATCAATACAGATCTGAACATTGTATGTGTATAAAGAGATTATCCAACGAGTGTGGATTGATATAATTGATGGAGTTTATTTTTTAAAGTTTAATCAATCATTTTCAATAATTGGATTATATTTGATAATAAATACACGAGTTGGATATCTACTAGTTTATCCCATAATACACATGTTAACTCATTCAACCCAAGATTTCATAATGAACTATTCCAACCTTTGAATTGGAAGAGTTCAGATGTGTCTTTAGGGGTGAATGAGTTAAAGAAAAGCTAACTTTTCTCTGTGACAAGCACATAATTTGAATTTTCGATCAGGACAGAGTTTGATGTAAGGTGTAATATCATAGGGTGTTTGTGTCATTTCAAAGAATGGTGACATCACCCCTGATGTTATATAATTTTACATTGTGAAAAAAGAATATTAGGCCATGAACTAAGTGTCTAGAAACAGAGGTGTTATGGGATAAATTTAATGACATTAATTCATATTTTGACTTTGCAACTTGCCCTTCTTTGTATTAATTTGCTCTCAGTATTGTTGAAATATAATATCAAAGCTATTGTGTGAAGTCATAAACTGCAAACAGAAACACAGATACTTACTTAGTATGGTAGCCATATTATATCTGAATGCTCAATGCTTATAACTGCTGCTGGCAAATTCTGACTTAATTCAGTCATTGCTTTAAAGGACATTCATGAATAGGACATTTTCAACTGTAAAACCCAACATGAAATCTTCAGTGCTTGTGTTAAGGCATGCTTTCATTGGGAGACAGTTTAAAGCTATGGCATGGAATTGCACAATAGATACTTACGCCACCTATGACTTTATATTTTAATTCTCTACAATTCTTTTTTAATCAGAAAGGTCAGTAATGTCATGGCCATAATGAAGCAAGTTGACAGCACAGATCAAATTTAGATTTCCAAAAATAAATGATATATTCAATGGGTGCAGATAGCGTAATGGAGTATCGAGGATGGATATTCCGTAACAATTACATACTAAATAAACCTAAGTATAATACAATGTACATGTATATATTGCCAGTAGGGTGTTGACTTCAGTACTAATATGGCTACTGTTCAACAGACATCTGTGGTTTTATGTTTGAAAGTGGTGAACACGATAGCTTTAATCTGCTGCATGTAAGGTTAATTTGAAAAAAAAAATATTTCATAACATTCTCATCATGAAATCACTCACTGACATATTTTCGATTTATATAAGAAAAAAGATAGATAATCAAAAACCGTTCTTTGTATTTTTAGGGTTTAATAAACTCTGAAAAAATACCAGCATGCCATATCATTTATATAAAACTTTTACCAGTAATGACCTTTTACGAGGTGAATACTAATTATATTAACCTAACAAAGTGATATTGACTGAGACCCATATTAAAATTTATGATACAAAATTGCATGTCTACGTATATATAGTATTCATTTAAATATCTAGGCTAATTTTAAAAACGAAAGTAGAGTGTTTAACAAATTGTTGTCATGAAATGTGCATGGATTTTTTTCTTCTTTTTCCCCCCTTTTTAAAATGAATTTCAAAATGATAAAAATCCTTGACATCTGTCATTCTTCAATACCACTGTTCGCAAATACTTTTTTTGAGTCTAGACAGTTTTTTTTGATAAAAATGAGGTCAAATTTACATAAAATGAAAGTGGTCTTGTTTTCATTCAGATAGTGGTATTAGATGGAGGAAGCCTGTGATACAGTAAATAATCTGGGAGTTGTTCTCATTATATTCAGATTTTTACAAAATGTGAAACTATTGCCCTAATACAATTTTATATATAATCCCTGGATTTGCATGAATAAAAATCTAGCTCAAATAGCATAATACAATTAATATTTCAACATTAATCTTGATGGCATCCTCTGCTTTTCTGCCTTTAGTGTATCTAATACAAAATTACAAATTATAATTATACCAGTATATATTTACATTTAACTCATTTACCCCTGGAGACACATTTGAACTCTTCCAATTCAAATGTTGGGTTAGTTCATTATGAAATTTCAGGGGTGAATGAGTTAATTTAGCATTGCATTAGTGCATGGGGTAGGGGCTTAGACTGGAATAATTGAATTTTCAGAATATTAAGTATATGAACTAAATATATTGTTGGAGAGTTTAGATTGATATTTAGTAAATTAACTCTTAACCATAAGTTCAAAATTTGTTAGAATGCATGACTTTAAAAACTCAAAACTATATGGTGCCTTTTTATTTGGATGTTGTTATTATATGTCTTGTAGTCTTTACTTAGAAGGTTAATTCCCAACAGTTGATCGTTGAATATAAGTTGCGTCCACTCTATATCTAGTCTTTATTTTCAAATATTATATCTACACTATTCATTGAATATTTCATATTTGAGAATAAATTCATGAGTTTGGGTGTTAACGATAACCAATCATCACAAGTTGGAGATCTTGTTTCTCCCACAGTACGATTAAAAAAAGAAAACCCCTTTGAAAAAAAGGGTTTGACGTCTCTGATTATATAGTATTGCCCATAAAACATGTCGCCAAAATGCTAGTCTGGGGCACGAAATGTTACGATTACATTCTACACTGTTTTTTTTCACTGTGTGTGCACACAGTGAAATAAAACCAGTGTCGAAAGTACATAAGTCAACAGTGCTTGTAGTGATGAAGTCTCATAATTAATAAGGGTGGTCGGGTGGTGCAGTAGATAGCGCATTTGCCTTTCACCAAGGCGACAAGGGTTCGATTACCCTATCGGACGTTAAAAGGCCAACAAGAGTGGTTTATATGAGTTGAAATAACTTGTTTCATAATTGTTGTAAAAAGTACTTTGGGAGAAATGTTTATTGCATCAATACCAACTAACCTAAAAAATGCTTTTCGCATTAGCTAAACTGCTTAGGTAATGATATAAAAATATTATCATTACAAGTCCGGTGTTAACAGTAGTTATAAATAGGTGCATCACAATATATGCGATGTTAAAACAAATTTCATTTTGATAGATCAAATAAATCTATGACAGTAAAACCACCATGCAGAATGATACTGTCCACATGTTTGTCAACTGAATCAACAATTTTTTTATGGTCTTTTGAGAAAAATAAATCTTGTATTTACACTTTGGAGTTCAGCACCAGGTATTGACAAAGTTCACAATATATTTTGAGGAAACTTTTGTCAGAAATGATGAAGTTTTATTTGGTGAAAAGTAGACATGTTTCACAAAGATTTGACTAAAATGTCTCCTGTTGTAACCCTAGTCAATATTTAGTGACACAGTGACATTTTTCTAATCCACATTTATTGCATGTATACTACAGAAACGATACCAATGAAATGTATTATGTAGGAAGTTACATTAAAACAGAATAGTACACACATGTTAATTGGTTTTACTGTCCGTGCTGATGCATGTTGCGAACAAAAATAAATTGATCCGCTGAAAACTAATACTCAAATAATCATAACATCCCTGTATTTGTCAGCAAACCTATTCGTAATTTGAAGACATCAGTAAGTCCAAAAAGAATGCAGTTTAATGCTTAAATATCAGATTGTATGATTATAAGTAGTCACTAGTATAGAATTGTATAGTTATCTTGTGGAAAACTCGGGTACAGGTATAAATTCATTTTTAAAGTATAAGAAATTTTTGGTGATTTCAAGTCTTTGTCAGTTTCTGCTTTCTATAATTTTTGAATAAATGGTCTAATGAAAGTCATTTGGATATGTACCTACTGGGACAATATGACAGAATACACCCGATACATACTAAAGAAAAATTGAGAAGTCAAAGTGGTCGAGAGGCAGATTCCTAAAATACTCAGTGGAGTTTCATAGTTCAGCCATCTTCATTCTCAACTACATTAAATTGAAAAAGGTGAATTACTAAGACAGTTCTCAATAAGAAAGATAGAATTTTGTTTTCCAAAAAAGAGTTGAAACAGCTGAATTATTGAGACACTTCTCAAAAGAAAAGATGGATATTTGTTTCTTCAAAAAATTTAAAAAGCTGAATTACTGAGACACTTCTCAATAGAAAAGATGGAAATCTGTCTCCCTTGAATCTGGCTGGATGATGAGACACCCAGACAGGTACTAGCTTGATAAATGAGGCTCGACTTTTAATAAATTTGAATTGTACTAACTAGAGAGTATAGCTTAGTTGGGTACACATACCTTCACCCGAGTCTGTCCAATGCATCATTGTCATTTCCACCCAACATCTTCAGTCTTGCTGTAGTAGATAGTGTCGTCTTGTTGCTTTTTGTGTGTAGTGTAGTTGATGTGTATTTTACTTATCTTTTTTCTATCAGTATGAAATACTATCTTCAATGTTGACGCAGAGCTGAGGTTGAATGAGGATGAATGAGGATGTAAGGAAGAGGATGTGAATCGTTACCATACGCGGACATTACTGGGAAAGTGATGAAAGGACTTTTCGTTTGTATTAATTGTTCGTGTATCTGAACATGTGATCACGATCATCTTCAAAGTCAGACTGAAATGGAGAGAAGTATCTTGTTGAGTTGAAACACATTTACTTAACCTAGTGTACAAATGTATGTGTTATACTTTTTACAATCCAACTGGTTCCTATAACGGAAAAATACATTATCAGCTTATTTTTTAAAAAAATGCAAAGGGGAATTAGAAAATGAAATTCAAATAATGCTTAATGACTAATTTGTATGCTTATGGTGTGCAGTTACATTTTTGATTTGGCAGATTTGAAATATTGAGATTTTTTTTACTTGACCTTTCACATAATATACCAGCTCCAGTAATCAGTCTAATGGAACGGTAACACCCTGTCAATATCTGTAAATCACATAAAGCAAGCACATTGTGTACATGTTTACAGATGACATATTGGTGCCAGTCTTGTTCAATTTAATGTCTCTGATTTCTGCTTCTCATTGTGATTTTTGAACAGATAATGTGTAATATGTATATGTTTATTGCGATTTCTTACCGCGACTTTTGTAAAAGACAACAATATTTCAATGAAGGGACGATATTTTGCACGAGACTTAGCCAAGTCTGGTCTGGTATATTGCAAAACACCATCCAAAGATTTAGATAAGCATTTTTTTTTCAACTGTAGGTAAGTGATTTATATTCTTGTACCTCTATATTTAAACATTTCTGTGGGAAGATTTTTTTTCTCCATTGTTAATGAATTTGTGATGTCACATTGGTTGCACAATGTCAAACTCATGATGATGTCACTGAAGATGTGTAACTTGTTAAACAATGTTAAAATAATGACATCGCAGTTTGGTGTAATTCGTGACATTGTCAAACTCTTCATGACATCGCCAAAGAGTTGCGATTTTGGGCAGAACATTATGTGAATCTTGCACTAACAGAAAAACGTGCCAACTTATATGCTGTGGTGTTGACACACAATGGCACTGATCTGATCTTCTTTTGGATATATACAAAGTCTCTAATGGGTTTCTGCTGACCTTTGTTAACTTTAAACATTATTGGAATGGCTTTACTGAAGCTCTAGCTAACCAGCGGTACAAGGTTTCTACATAACAGTATTGGTCTATATTCAGATCAGGAGTTTTTACCTTGCTTCAATGTGTATAGACGGTCCAATCAGGCACATAAATAGCATGACTGATTATAATTAGGTGTATGACTTAATGCAAGATTGATGCCATCTACCTATTATGGGCTCAAACTAACTCTGAAACAATTTGTTATGTTATTCTCGAACTTAACATAGCTTTTTTTCCACTGGTGGTATTTATTGAAAGAACAGAATTTCTTTGGAATAAGAAAAATTAATGTTTTTTTTTTTTTTATATCTTAAGAATTGTGAATGTTTAAGTAGGAGCTTATATGAAATACACAATTGAATCCCCTCTGTACAGTACGTTGCAGGACAGTAGAGGAATAAGCAAGCAAAATAGATTTGTTTTGTTTAAGAGATAGAAAACTAGGACAGTAGACAGGATGTTATCGACTTCAAGTTGGTATCACAGCAGAATTGTTAAACCTATTGATTCATCTTTATGAATGATTTTTTCCTATTTTTATGAAGGAATACTTTTCTATATGAAGTATTATATTTGTGTGAAAACGTGAACTGTATGAATGGATCTTATTTGTATGAATGAAGATTTTATATGCATGAATGGAAATTTCATCTGTATGAATGAATACTAAATTTGTGTGAACGAATAATTTATTTAAATGTGTAAATAAACATAAACTGTTTGAATATGAAAAAATGATGTTTTTTTTATTTGTTGTACACCACTATGAGATCAGTGGTTGTTCAAATCGCTTTTCATCCGTCGGTAATTTTTATGTCCTTGACCAATTCTTGATATTGCTATTTTTCAAGAAATATTGTGAGATCTTTCTCTTTTGTATTGTTGCTAGGTGACCATCTTAAAACTTGACAGTTATATTGTGTTATTGCTATTTCTTAGTCGGTCCAGAAAGGATTGGAAAAACTAAACAGACGTCTTGAATTTGACCACTGTTAATATTCTTCTACTGATCTTGTCAAGTTTCGTAAATAAGTTCTTGCATATCCCAAGCTTTGCATGTTTTATTTTAAGAATGATCGGAAGAAAAAGATGGATACCAGAAATAAGAAATCTCTCTGATCATTTGTCGCACATAACTAATCTAGTCAATAGTTTGAAAGACATCCTTGTTTTAAAAGGACATTTCGTTTTGTATTTAAGTTTAAAAAAAAAGAAAATACAACACATGGTGCATTTACTGTTGACACGACTATGAATCCAACATAAAAAAAAGGAACTGAAAAAAAAAAGATAAAATATCTGATGAAGGTTGACGACAAGATCCCTCTAGAATCTTGTTATTATGAAACCAAAATGAATTCTAACAAATTCAACTACTTGGACATTTTTGTCATTCTTTATTTTTCCAGCCTAGTAATATCCAAATTGCATCCGAATTCCATGTTTCGGCCATTTTCAATCACAGTACGTGCAAGTATCAATAAGAATTCTAACATTGAATGTCCAGTAAATGATGGTGCTTTCGATCTTGGAAGCATTTGGCAAATAAAACAGGTTTTCATTCTTTGAGCATTTTGAAAATAAAATACTTCCCGTTTGTTTTTATCAACATTGCTGATGTCACCTGTAGTGACATGAATTATAAAACTTGTAACAGAAATCTATCATGGTTTTACTTAATACACAATGTGTAAGTCACAAACGTGTCGCAACGTAAGCGATTTGTATTGTTTTTATCGCTCTGTCATGGCTTGACAAATGGACCAGTCGGTCTTGAAAAGTTGCCACACGTTTGATACGCACATTGTTTAATAAAGTAAAATCATGATACAAATATATTTCCAAATTGATAAATCTTATTGAGGGTTTTAGCAGAAATCGGAAGAAAAACAAGAACAGCAGGGAATTTGTTCTATTTTTCCTGTCATCTAACGTGCATTGCCATACCATAGACCAAATTCCTTGTCAATATATGATGCAATGTGTCACTTTCTAAAGTATATTATAATGCAGTGTATATATCGCCGATATGTACCTTATTTTGTTATTGGGTTATGGGAACAACTTTCACAGTTTGGCCTCTACAACAATTATGAAACAAGTTATTTCAACTTACATATTAATCACGCTTGTTTGCCCCCAGATGTTAGCGCGAAGATGGTCTTAATGTGAGAGGAAACCGTAAAACTCTGAGGAAACCCTCGTGGTCGGGCAGGTGGTCCCTGAACCTGTTCATATCCGATTCGGGAATCGGATCCCAGCCGCCTTTGTGAAAGGCAAATGCGCTATCCAATGCGCAACCCGATCATCCAACCTCTAGTATGGCTCTTTTAAGCGGAAATGTGAAATGGTAATAAATATGCAGCAATCTATGTTGATATTCATAGGCAAACAGTCTTGTACCAACTAACAGGCACATGAGAAAATATATATAAGCAAACCATGGCTTACCAGAAATATTAATATACAGGACGACTCCTAAGAGAAAGCTTTCGAAACCTTGCTATTCTCCCGTAATCTGACAAATCGGACGAGACTTGGAGACACCACCTTTTTCCGTTGTAAAATGGGGGAAATTGAACCCCCCAGAATTTTTACCGATATTAAAATTTTAAGTTAAAATGGGTTTAAAACTTAATTACAAAATCTGAATTCTACCCTAGAAGACAACGGGAACTGAGGAGACACCAAAACGATGATTTCTTTTGTTTAACATTCTATTAACAGCTAAGGTCATTTAAGGACTTGAAACGTAAACATAAAAAAGATGCAAAATCATGTATGGACTGTAAATTTTCCTTGGGAGGTTTAATGCCGGACAAAGATTATAGTGAAGAATAGATTTGAGGTTAGAGAACTAAAGGCGAAATGCTTCAGAAAACCCCCCACTTCTCATATGGATGAAAATATTCTAGACTGAAGGATAGAGAAAAGCGTGGTCAGAAAAGGCTGGCGATTCCAACACTGGGCAAAAAAGTATTATTTAGTATAAATGATAAAGAAATCCGATGCAGATTGATACTTACATGTACTTTATTCCTAATTAACAAAAATGTATCGTTTCAAACAACGGGTTTATTGCAGGATTCATTTAAAAAAATGAATGTTGAATTTGAGGGTTAGTATTATAGCAGACTGCTGACAGTTCAGGCAGCGCAAAACCTTCTACTACTATAAAATATATCATCTTACATCCTGAACTTGATATTAAAAACATTTAATCAGCTTATTGATCCGTCTTGATATTTACCTTCATATATACCCGTTGTCAGGTCAGTATAATGTGACCGGGCGGAGTGCTGTGCTTGGTGCCTCGGTGAGATAGCACTATAGGGTCGGCATCAGATCCGCGCTATCACAAGGAGGCAAATACGTACACACATGCACGTTTACAAAACACACGGAGACACGTCCTTAAATGACCTTAGCTGTTTATAGGACGTTAAATAAAATAAAACCTAAACCAAACCTTCAGTAATAAAAGTTATCTCGTTTCAAACTTTATGACCACCTGATACTTCTTTCCACAGAAAAAACCGAATTATGCCATTCCTACTAATGTACACGTAGTTTTCTCGAATAGCAGTTTATTTTACTTTTCAGAGTATTTATTATACTTGAAGGGATTTCAGTGTATAATATGTTTTTTAACCAAGGTTTCCCCTCTAGAGGTTCTTGCGTTGAAGATAGTTTACGGTTGCCATCGATACCACAATTGACGTCATGTTGGGTACTGCTGCACAGGGCAATGATCTAGTTTCGCCTTCAATATTTTGTATGAGTGTATGATTCCTCTCTTTTAACTTCGTTTTTGATCTGTTGTTGTATGTTTGTGTGGATTTTGGGTTCAGATTTTGTCTCTGTGCGTTGAAAATGTAGTATATGTCAATGAAGCAGATGCGAAATCCCTCGGAGGGCAAGGATTGCCTTTATTAAGCTTACAAGCTGTCAAGTACACTCCCTTACAAGATAAAGTATACATCAAAACAAACTTGTCAAGATAATTATAGGTTCGTGGCCAGGTTGCGTTTGTGGCTCTACAGGTAGGTATATATAGCCATAATAAGGTTTGGTAACATAAGTAGCAGTACATATGTTTATGATACATTTGAACATAGAGCTCAATGTTTTTTTATTACATGAGCTTGAGACATACTAGTACAGTATATAATAACAGAAATTATCTTTAATTAAGGAGTACCATGTTCGCCTCCGGATTGTTATTGCAATAGTTGTAGGGTTCTGGTTATTTAATATTGAGGTATGAATAGAGTCTGGCCGAAATAGAAAGCAATTGAGGCAAATCTTTTAAAGTCATTTTCTTCCAGTACGGGTTAAGGGAAGTAAACCAAATTTGGACTGGAACATTTTTGCCTTATTAATTTAAGCATGTAGTTTATACCAAGAATCACACTGTCAAACATGTCCATTGAAACAAATCAGATATATATAGGAGGGATGTAGCTCCTGAACCCAAGCTACTGTTACATATTCCTCTGAAATTCTTGGCTTTGAATTTGCTTCCTTTGTTCTTGAATACAGGAGTAAAATCTTCGGTTTTGAGATCGCTGGGTACTCTCCTAATCCTCATGATGGAATCCATTAAGTTGGTCTAAAACCCATTCATCGGCGTGAAGGACGTGCTTCGGCCGTTGCCAGGCCATATACATCTTCTACCTTATTTTTGTTGAGTAATGCAATTGCCTTGACTACATCCTCGTTGGTGTATACAATATTCGACGAGTCCGGTTTACATATTTCTGTGATGAGGTCTACGTCTAACTGGACATGCTTTTGTTAACAGTTGTTGAATGTGAGGCTTGTGGTTGGTTGAGCAAGGTTTGTGAAATGCTCCTTCCATCCTTCAATGATATTGTTCCCTTAAAATAGTGTGTTGTTTACGTGGAGATCTGATACATATCCGCTCTCTTTGCCTCTGTTTCCTTATCAGCCTATATAGCTTGTTCGTGTCTAACGTTCTTGCTTCCATGATTTCAATCCTGTCCTGGAAGGTTTTATTTGCAATTGCTACTCTGATACATCTCCTCAATGCATGTGTATAGCTTTTTTCCTGACGATGAGATAACGGCTATTGGGGTCATCTGGCTTACCACGTTTCTTCCAATCGTAAAGACACTTACGGCTATTATTCACCTTGCAGATGTGTGGTACCTTAATTGTGTCGGTGAAGCTGGAGGTTGGACCCGACTATATAGCGGGTCAATAAGATCAACTGTTGGCTGGATGTTTGGATGTGTGTGTATGTTTTCTGATCGCATATCAGCATTCTGGCTAGCTATTTTAGAAGCCGTGGGTATACTTGGAGTTCCATGGCATATCTGGTTACCTTGTGGAAATTGTGTGTTACTCGGCATTTGGCGGAACAGTTCTATAGTGAGGTTGCTGGCTATGCTAGCTGGTTTGATAGTTACTTCCCAAAATACTACGTGGTCTACCTTCCTTAATACGAGACCAGTAACCCTGCCATGTATGTATGTCAAGAGGGTGGCGTTGTTGACTCTCTCATTAGACGTAGAGTTGTTTGCTTTAGTACTAATATTACTTAATCTAGGGACAGCTTGAGTGTAGCGCAAGCTCTCTGGCCTTCAGGTTCTCCTCTTAGTCTCAAACTGCTTTCTGTATGTTGAAGTTGGCCTTGCGGGTGCCAAAAGCGGGATAGGAGGTATTTTCCTGTGTGCCCATTTCGCCATTAATAGCCTTAGGTACCGATAGTGGTTCAACGTTCGTTTTCTGGAAGGGAGTATAAACTCTGGTGTGGCATCACCAGATACTTTGGTGGTTGTGTTGCCTTGAGTGGGCTACAGTTGTCGATGAGTGCTCAGACACTGCTCGTCAGTAGTATTGTACTCACTCACTGTACTCGTAACTTTCTCCGACAGAGTTGCCTATTTGTTCATTGGTTTCGTTTCGGGGTTTTTTCGGTCGGAAATAATTCAAACTGGGTTGGAATCATTCTTATTAGGAGGAGTTTTATTGCTTATCCAATGCAACAGTTCCGCTTCCAGTCTTTTAGAGTTTCTTGAAGCCATTACATGACATCTCCTTTGTTCCCGATGTATTTTTTTTTCCGCCTCGACGTTGAGGTCTGATTTGTCCCTGTGTGTTTGCGGTGTGTTATTTATTAATAAAGCAGAAATAACAACACTCGGAGGACTTGTATTGCCCTACAAGCAGTCAAATCAAGGTAGATCTTTATCCTAAAAAATGCACGGTATAAATGTAAGTCGAGTCCACATCTGCACAAATTTGCCATCAACGACTTTGGCGAATCATTGTATTTGATATATCTTTTTGTAATTTTCATATTTTGGTAAGAGTATTTCCAGTTAATTTCATGTTTGTGAAATGTAGCTCGACTGTAGTTTTATTCTGTGAATTATGTTTGTTTGAAGACGTGATATTACTTGGATTTGACCTAGATTTATAAAGTTGATGTCCTCCGAAACACATGGTCTTTTTCTCCTTGTCCTTTATAAAGGATCTCAGTAAGGTTCCCTTTTTCTGTCAATTTTGAGTTTGAATTGTTTTTTCGACCCTTCGGGTTTCCCTTCTTTATTTTTCAACATTATTCCATATACAAGTTCTGTTTGTTTAAAAACTCTTGTCAAGTGTTTTCGTCCCGAAGGACTGTGGTCGACATCAGGATCTCGCAGGGACCGAAATATGCTATTTCTTTGTGCGATATGAAGGTCGATGTTTTTGAAAATGCTTATCAAAGTGCCTTGCGGTTTTGTTTTCACTAACAGATCGAGATGTCGATGAGAGGACGTGACATTACTTGAATTCGACTTAGATTTACACGGCGGATGTCGTCGATGAAGCAGAAGACCTGGCCCCGAACTCATGAAACGGAAAGCAACAACTTAAGTCTATAACCGTGTCATGATCCATAGGACTGGTCTTATTTTCCTTGTACTTTTTAGAGGGTCTCTGTTCATTTTTTGCCAAAGTTTTAACGGTTTTGAGTTTGATTTATGGTTTTGTTGACACTTCGATATGACATTATCTTGTTGTTTATTAAGCAATAGTATGGTCTTTATCATAGCTTGATGTATAATTACCACATTTCAGTATCTACTATGCTTTTAGACGTGTTAAAAAATGTTGGGATCATATATATACTGGCGACCTACATTGCTTCATGGTTTTGAAGTTACTTTGAAGTGTAACAAGTACATGTTTTTGTTAAGCATATTTTGGTAAAGAATTGAAAACACAACACATTTTCGTCAGTTTGCCATATTGCAAGAATGTTAGTGCTTTAATGATTTTATATCTTGTACATGTTACATCATATAATATTTTATAGAAACAAGAAAAAATATCAGATGACATGCCAGGCGGTAGCCGAGAGCTTCTTAAATTATTGTTTTAATATAACAAAATATATATCAATTTATAACTGAAGCAAAAATCACGAAATTTCTATATGTGAAAAAATCTTCGTCTCTGAAACTATCATCGCAATGCTTATTGTTTATTAAAGTAAATATTTGCAAAAAAAGAGACAAAACTATTATTGTAAAACCAATCTGAAAAGAGATCATTCTCTTCATTTAAGTGAATACAACAACATAGGAATGCATTTTGATTAATTTCATTTGCCGTATCATTAATGTTGAATAAATTGAAATTATCAAGTTGAAAAAAAAACAGCACATTTTCAAGCATGGGATAATACAGACAATTAAATACATTTGCAAGTAAATATTTTAGACATAATTCGCATTAATATTCTCCATATATTTCTTAAAGCTAGAATTGTACTTCTATTGCTTATTAATGATATATAAATATACACAAACATCTTTGCATTGTAAATATATAAATGCCTTTATGTGTGATAAATTTGCAGGATATTGAATAAATACTAACACAAGAGGACAAAGGGCTTGTATCGCTCAACTGTAACTTTGCTTGCGTATGTAATGAATAATGGGAGATGTATTGAATCTTGAACATGTGTCCATTGACGTGTATTTTTAAGATATCTATATTTATGATATATATTGATTTTTAAAATATTTAGATCTATATACTTGATTTTAAAAGGAAAAAGGCAATAATCGGATTATTTAAATTGCAAGCTTGAAGCAGACGACAGATACGAGGAGCAATGGCAATGTGTATCACGTAATCATTTTGACTTGAGTGAAATTTAAATATACCGTCATGTAAACAAACTGGTCATTCCTTTCATAATCACAAAAAGAAACTGCCTTAGTTAACCCTTTCACCACTGTAGACCATAATGGACTTATCCAGATCAATGTATGGTTGAGTGTATTCAAGTTACATAGGGGTGAAAGGGTTAAATGTTCTTAAATCAATAAAATTTTCATAAACAAACTTTTTTTTTTTATCTTTATCAAAAACACAATATTAAAGTAAGTAGATAAGTCATTCTGATATGCATTTCTTTGCTTTGCATTTAATTTTCTTCGTGAGTTTTTCTTCCCAAAATACATTTTTATGAAATACGTATATTTTGTCTTTAGATTTCATAACGTAACTACATATGGTATGGAAAATAATTGCATCCGCCCACACAAACATGTTAATTGCTGGAACTAATGATTCGAGTGAATTCTCAGATGATAATTTGAAAATCTGGGTAGCTGAATGAACACAGTTTATAGAAAGCAAACGACACATGTGTTCAGTTTAATGACAACGGCAACTGAGATAATATTGAATTGTTGACTACGTATACACTGCTGTGTAAAACATACACCTCACCCCGACAAGGACTTGATGTGGGTGTGTAAAATATGGTATGCTATTGCAAGTTTACTTTCAGTTTACGTTTATAATGCAGCAGTTTACGTTTATAATGCAAATGATTACTAAAAGCACAGATCACTGTTTCAGTAATGGTTTTCACGGCCTGACAATACACACAATTGTATACATGCATACTATGGACCACTTCCAGATGCACTGATACATGAAGCTAAATAAAATTTGCATTTAATTATAAATCAATTTGATTTGTACTTTTTACATACTTAAGATGTTTCAAAATGCAACTATCAATATTCAACCAGACCCCACGATTAAACTGGAAAGACATATGAAGTGTCTACGATACCAACCTAAATTATCTTGTATACCTGAATCACTAAATGAGAGCAAATGTTCACTTCTTAGCAGTACATATATTATATTGTGTTTAATTGATGGAATGCTTGATATACATATATTATACTGTGTTTAATTGATGGAATGCTTGATATACACATATACATGTATATATATATCTACAAGAATTTTGATATGATGGAAAACTGTGGTTTAAGATTTCGTCACTATGCTTATATAACATACCTTTAAAGTATACATATATATATATCATACAAAAATGTTTTGAAATATACATATTTACATTATCAAAATACATACTATACACATACTGTACATTTATATTACATATGTACAAAATTATTTCATACTTCAAGTCAAGTGGAGTGTCTTAATATAATTTTATATACAAAAAATATATTATTAAGTGTGTTGTTCATCTCGTTTAATGTTACAATAATCATAACAATTTTAACAATTATTTTTTGTTCTTTTAAATATTGTAAATAAATGGCATTAGGATTCGTTTAAAACAATAGAAATCCAAAAATAGTCTGGTTCCTTTCTTTAAGTTCACCTGGCATTGAACAAAGTATTTTCCACTTATTGGGACCCCAAAGATAACATTTGGTCAGCTTATTTTTTTATAGATCTCATTAACCCTTTCACCCCTATGTAACTTTAGTAGACTCTACCATGCAATGATATGGACGAGTCCATTGTGGTCTACAGTGGTGAAAGGGTTAATGGGGTGCAGCTGCCCGACTGCCCATGCATGAAAGGAAGACAAGGACATTGTGTCATGAAAAAAGCTTGTTTGAAGATAAGGAAGAGGTGAGCTAAATTCTAAGGAAGCAATTATGATTAGTAAATAGTCAAAATGATATGTTTTTGTATAAAAAGTGAGGTTATTGGTCAGACATTATTCTTTACACTGTTTGGTATATATCTCATTATTACAGGACTATATGTATACAGAAAATACTTTTAAAATCATACAGGCACTTTTTTTTTACAAGATTCAACATTAATGTTCTATAAAGTATGAAGTTATATAAGGTATTGTCATTGGAAGGCTGTTATGAATAGTGGTTGTCATGGTGATATTTTCCTCGATTTTCTGGGATAAACTGGTGTTGTCACACTTTGCTGAACTTCAAACCAGCTGAAATAGGAAAAAAAATATTCAATTAATAAAAATAAACTTTATCTAAAGCATTAAATGACATTTATACAAGTGAAGCTAAATTTAAAACTATTTTACTATTAAACAACAGTCCTTTATTATTGCTTGGTATTTCTATATTAAAATTTCTCCAAAATGTTACTATATGATCCAATATTTAAGGAACTATCCATTGATAAATGAAATCAGAGTAGTTCTTGTAGTTCAGTTAACAAATAACTGTAAATCTCCAATTTTTTCTTGGTTCAATATTTTGCAAATTTTCACACACTGTGATAAGGACTTAATTTTTCAATTTTTCTGTTATTTTGTTATTTTAATAAAAACCTCAGAAGTGACAAATATTTTTCTTTTACATCATTTAAATAATTGTGAGCACCAAAACAGCAAAAATTAGAACCACACAAAAAATTGAAGCTTTACAGTATGCAATATGGCCACCATGAACGCAACGTAGTCTAATACTGTATTGAAACTGGCATAGATAAAAGCTTCAAAACTCACTTTAAGAGTATTTTTTTACTGGAATGCAACTAATAGTCTAGAATTGAAAATGACATTCTTGAAATCATGGAATTGTATCTCAGGAGTGATCTCCTACAAAGAATATCAGGTATTTGTATATTACGGCAGCACAACGTACCTTACAGCTATATACAGGTATATAAAAACAAAAACGACAACTGCTGTTCAAATAACGAAATATAACTTCTGTAAGGTTAGGTTAGTATTTTAGCTGTAACCGTGAGCATGCCAAATTTGCAATGTGTGTGCAGAGCATGATATAGGATATAATGCTTTACTCATTTCTGTGTATCCATAGAAAGCATGTTTATTACAGAAATTCACATAATGAACTTACGTTTAAATGTCTAATACTTTAAAGGTAAATCATGCGAGGATTAAAACATTTCTTAAAACAAAGTATAGTTCTGTGTTTCAAACAGAACTATACCATTAACAAGCTAGGGGGACTTTGAAGGAACATTTAAACCACAATAAATTAGTGTTTTAATTAATATTCATCTGGCTGTAAATGCGTTTGTGGTGAGTAGCCTTTTTAAGAGTGGTATCTTTTTTTTTCAAAATGGTCTGTAAACCCGTCAGATATTAAGAAGGTCAGGTCATCATCCTCATAAATACAAAATGTGTTCTCATATTAATTTAAGGTTACTTAATCGTGTATTTGAGGAGTCATACTTATATTTTCCATCTGGGCTCCGTCACTAAACCGATGGTAACTAAATTTAACATTCAACTGAATTCTATTGGTCAAAGGACGCTTCATACCAGAGCAAGATAACATTTGTTATTATTTAGCAACCTTCAGTACACCAACCCATGATAAACAATAATTCTGTCCAAATGTAAGTCCATTTATATAACCTTAAACCCCAATTCACTTTTAATATGTCATGCCCTTCTTGAAGAGTAGTTTTCAGAAGATGCATATTTGCCCCCTCTATTTCCATCCTCATGTATGCAATGTTGAACTTACTTGAACTTGAGGAATAATTCCTTGCAAATGTATTTCAAAGAAGGTCAAAAGTTCTTTAAAAGTAGGCTTTTAAAGGGGAATTTAAAAGACATGATTACAAATGTCATATCATAGTCTAGGCGGCTTATTTTGGCCTTTAGCCAAAGAAGCAAACAAAACTATTCTCAATCTGCAAGTAGGTAAGTCAAACCATATCCTTTGGCTTTGTCTCCCTGTAAATCTTACAATATAAACCTGTTCTACCTGTAAAAGTTCGAAAGATTGTTGCACAAATTAATATCTTCCTGTAAAGTTCAACATGATTGTTCTAGTCTACCTCCACCTGTGAAGCGAAAACCAAGCATTTGTGAATAAGCCAATAAAAACACTGGTAATTTAAACAAATCGGCAAAACTTAGTTAGACCATTCAGTTATGTATGATATTATTTAAATATCACAGCTGAACTCTAACCCCGACCTTGGCACTATCTACAGTATGATAATTGAAACACTCCTTTTTCTACTTAACGTCTCTGATTAGACATAATTCATATTCTATTCCGGATAATATCAGAAATAAGAATTAGCCACTATAAAACCGCTTTCTATTAAAAACAATTAAAGTCTTTACAAGCAACCAAATTAGACTTGTATGAAGATTTAGCATATGCACTATATGAACCTTCTAAGAAAAGGAGTATATTAAAAAAGTGATTATGACAATTGAAATCCAACACATAATTTGAATAAATAACGTCATGCCCGTTTAAATAATGCTGAACGCTGAACATTGATTACAGTTTTGAATTAAATCGATTTAATGGTTAACTTTGTTGGTGTAATTTTGTCAATATCATTTCAATGATTCTACAGGCAAAAAGAATGGCTACAGTAGTTATCTGATGGTTTGATCTTTTACAGCCAAAAGTTGTAAATGTATCGTTTATAACCAACTTTCCTCTTATACTATTTTCTACATTTATGTTGCAACACTTTTAATCTCTAATAAAGTTTCCTTTATTTTGTTTCCTGTACTGAATTATTTGTTAAACTTTCTTAAACTGTATTTATTGAATGTTTTAACGAGTAATGACTGAATATATATAGTGTGTATAGCGGTATTTTTTTTAAAAAGGTCATGTGATCGTAAAAATGTAAATAAAACACTGAAAGCTAAATCTCGCTTGTACTTTCGCCCATCTTGGCGACCTTCAGGCGATTTTCAGAAAATACTAGCGATACTTAGTCTTCAGTGTTTTGTTTAATTTATATTGTGTGTATGTGTGTATAGATAATAGATTGAACATCAATTGTCATGTAAGTATGTATTAAGTGCCGTTGCTTACATACATATATTTCATGAGGCCCATTATATGTATGCAACCAAATGGCAGTTCATAACAGTATGAAATAAACAAATACAGTTCTGTATCAGAGTGTCTGGATACAGCGTAACAGATCGGGCGTATTACCAACGCCTGCCAAAGTGTAATAGGAACTAACAGCGATGGTATATCGGCTTAATTCCGTAGCAAAGTGTCAACTTATAATGCTGCATGTGATGTAGTGAATTATTTTTGAGATTTCGAACAATCACATAATTGGCAAATACATGTTTTCATATAGTTTTTATAAATGCGTATCTAAATCTAGAAAATACAAGCCTGGGTCTGTATCAGACTCAATGAAGCATACACCTGTCCCGCTATAACACACCAATCAGATTTCTGGCACCACACAACTTTACAGATTTAATCTCTCATCAGAGATAGCAGGTTAAAGAAAAACAACATTCAAGCTACCAAACAAAGCAAAACAAAAGTATTCCCGGCAAACAAGCAGAAACTATCAATCGGACTAAAACAATGGCGAGACTACTGACTACATACACAGCAATAGCTAGGAGTGTCGTCCTCTACGGCTTCGACCTGCAACATACAAATACCCTGGCCTATATAAATCAAACTTACAATAACCCAGGCTTAGCAATATCATAATGTTACTTTTACCCTGCTGGCCTAGCTATATCACAATATCACTTATATCCCCCAGCTGGTGGCCCTCAGTTATATCACAATCTTATTCATATCATCCTGGCCTAGCTATATCTTATATCACCCTTGCCTAAGCTATATCTTATATCATCCTTGCCTTGCTTTATCTTATATCACCCTAGCCTAGCCATATCACAATCATACTTATATCACCCGGGCCTAGCCACATCACAATCATACTTATATCACCCGGTCCTAGCCACATCACAATCATACTTATATCACCCATGCCTAGCCATGTCACAATCATACTTATATCACCCTGGCCTAGCCACAGCACAATCTTGCTTATATCACCCTGGCTTAGCAATATCACAATCTTAACTATATCACCCAGGCCTAGTCACATCACAATCTTACTTAAATCACCCTGGCTTAGGGACATCACAATCTTATATCTCCCTGGCATAGCCACATCACAATTTTATTTACATCACCCTGGCTTAGCCAAATCACAATCATACTTATATCCCCCAGGCCTAGCCATAGCACAATCATACTTATATCCCCCGGGCCTAGCCACAGCACAATCTTACTTATACCACCCAGGCCTAGCCATAGCACAATCATACTTATACCCCCCTGGCCTAGCCACAGCAAAATCTTACTTATATCCCCCAGGCCTAGCCAAATCCCAATCATACTTATATCCCCCGGGCCTAGCCACAGCACAATCTTACTTATATAACCCTTGCTTAGCCACATCACAATTTTATTTACATCACCCTGGCTTAGGCACATCACAATCTTATATCCCCCTGGCCTAGCTACATCACAATCTTACTAAAATCACCCGGCCCTAGCCATATCAAAATCAAACTTATATCACCCGGGATTAGCCACATCCCAATCTTATTTATATCACCCTGACCTTGCTTTATCTTATATCACCTAGGCCTAGCCACATCACAATCTTATATCACCCTGGCTTAGCCACATCACAATTTTATTTATATCACCCTGACCTTGCTTTATCTTATATCACCCTGGCCTAGCCACATCACAATCTTACTTATATCACCCTGGCTTAGCCACATCACAATTTTATTTATATCACCCTGACCTTGCTTTATCTTATATCACCTAGGCCTAGCCACATCACAATCTTATATCCCCCTGGCTTAGCCACATCACAATCTTACTTATATCACCCTTGCTTAGCCACATCACAATCTTACTTATATCACCCTGGCTTAGCCACATCACAATCATACTTATATCACCCAGGCCTAGCCACATCACAATCTTATTTATATCACCCAGGCCTAGCCATATCACAATCATACTTATATCACCCAGGCCTAGCCACATCACAATCTTACTTATATCACCCAGGCCTAGCAACATCACAATCTTATTTATATCACCCAGGCCTATCCATATTACAATCATACTTATATCACCCTGGCCTAGCCACATCACAATCTTAATTATATCACCCAGGCCTAGCCATATCACAATCATACTTATATCACCCTGGCCTAGCCACATCACAATTTTATTTATATCACCCTGACCTTGCTTTATCTTATATCCCCCTGGCCTAGCCACATCACAATCATACTTATATCACCCTGGCCTAGCCACATCACAATTTTATTTATATCACCCTGGCTTAGCCACATCACAATCCTATTTATATCACCCTGACCTTGCTTTATCTTATATCACCCTGGCCTAGCCATATCACAATCATACTTATATCACCCTGGCCTAGCCATATCACAATCATACTTTTATCACCCTGGCCTAGCCACATCACAATCTTAATTATATCACCCTGGCTAATTAGCAATATCACAAACTTACTTATATCACTCTGGCTTAGCCATATCACAATCTTACTTAAATCACCCCGATGTCTGTATATCTTGATTCTACATATTCTGAAACCAAAGATTAAAAAAGTAATATTGAGTACCTATTTCTTCGGAACAACTGCTTAACACTTTCCTAAACTCGTAAAACCTGTTCGAGGATGTCATAATTAATTACAAAAAATGTTTTAGTACCTTTTCTGGAAGTATTTCAGACTTGAAAAGCTGTTGGTAATGCATGGCTATCTACTCATTATGTTAAATGTACATGGACAATGAATGCCTCTTCAAGCCTCTGGTTGTAAAAGGTTATTGTAACAGGCAGTCATAAGATTTGACTAACTGTTAGCAGGATATCTTAATACAGGAATTCAGAAAAATTCTACAAGCAAAACATAACAGTAAGTTAACATATCCCTGCTGTAATTGACATGGGTTTTCACATTTCTGAAGTAAATGTTTTTAGTTTATAAAGAGATACAAACGTATGTTTCTTTGTTTGTAATGCATATTATTCTTATACTATATCATGAATGGTTGGTTTTCTAACAAAGACAAAAAGAAACGTAGACGATTTTGAAATTGTCTATATTTCTGCTCAGAAAACACACTTATTAAGTGTACAATGACCTTGAGTATGACGCTTAGAGTTGTTATAAGCAGTAGTTCAATCTGAATTTATAAATTACGTGCAGTTATTTGGTTTAAAAAAAACCTCATTATATTTTTTTCTTGAAAATTGAGTTGCCAACACAACTGAATGGATATTACATGAATCAACATTTAAGTTTTAAGAAGAATTTCAACTTTGTATCTGAGAAAATATTAGAAACTGGTGGGTCCTATAACTTACAGGTTCCAAAAACTAATACTTATCAAAAGAAGACAAGGAACTGAACGAGTTTTGTGGGAAGTGATCCAAGGTCAGGTGTTTTAAACTCAGTGGTCACTCTATGTATTTTTACAATGGCTGATTTAATTTGCCCAAAATATCTATTCAAGCTAAAACTATCAGCTAAAGTCTAACATCAATACAATGACCCCCCACCCCCCACACACACATTTTGTATATGTGCCCAAACCAGGATTACAATATAAACACTATGCTCGATAGCCATTTAAAACACCATATACACTGATGGAATATTTTGTTTTGGTGATTCACCTTGTCAGGTTTTGAAGAAACTTGATGAACTTTGTGAGTACAGCTAAAATACAAGGGCATTAACTCTTACAAAACTCATTTGATCAGTACCGCACGTATGTATATGTATATCTAGAATGCCATTTCATTTTGTGACGCTAAAGGGATGTCACTTAAAGAATAGGTGAAACTACCCATTTAAAATTCAAATAAGAAATATCCCCTATTCAAAATGGTGACATTGAATCAGTGCATGACATCATCAAATATGATTTAAAGAACAGCATCACCCAATATGTAAATATATGCACAACTAAATATATGATGATGGTCATATTAAGCCTGAATTATTACAGTAACCAAGTTTCAACAGATCCAAATGAAAACTCAAGGACTATATCTTGACAAGATTGATTCTATGGGCAAACGATCAGACAGGGAGATTTCAGTATGCCTGTGGTTATAATCATGATGGCTTCAACACTAAGCGTTTGTAAGTTTTCTTTTGATTAGAATGAACATCTTTAATAGGTTCAGTATTGTGAATTGCAGGTACAACATGAAACAAATTGTTGATTTTGTTTTCTTCTATCAATTTGTCTTTATTTAAAAATCATATTTATTTATTCCAACTTTGGAAGTCAAGGTGGTATATTTGCCGTGTAAATAATCGCAATTCTACCACAATCAAGGAAACCATTTGAGTTAGTACAGAGCCAATGTTTCATGCTATACCAAACAATTTATATGATATATCTCCTATTACAATTTATGTATATTTACATGCAGTTTTAGACATATGTTAATCAAGTTTCCTTTTACTGGTGGCTATTTTTCTGGCTATTTTGACATGTAATTATATGAAATTAATGGTTTAAGAAGCCAATATTTAAACATACACAGCAGTAATTTACTAAATTACACATGTATGTGTACCCTGAGATGGAGGGGTCGGGTAAGGAACATATAAGTAGAGTTAAACCTGTTCATACAACCACCTCCATCAAGAGACCACCCGTGTTAAGAAAACCCCTGAAATGCTCGCCACTAAGTGGTTCAATTGTAAACTTAACCTGCTTTATAAGACTTCCTGAGCCATTGAATACTGGTTTGACAGTATATTAACTGAATTATAGTTAATGGTCACTCAACACAGGTGGTCACTCAAGTGATAATTAAAACAAAGAAATGGTTGCTATGATCGACAAGTGGTTACTAAGGCTGATGAGAGCAAAGAAATGATCGCATAGACAGGTGGTCAAAGAAATTATCACAGAAACAGGTGGTCAAAGAAATGATCACAGAGACAGGTGGTCACTAAGACATATCTGTGGGACAGGTGGTTATATAATTACTTAGACATATCAGTCAGACAGGTTGTCACTTAGACATATCAGTCAGACAGGTTGTCACTAAGACATATCTGTGGGACAGGTGGTTATATAATTACTTAGACATATCAGTAAGAAAGGTTGTCTTTAACACATATCAGTAAGATAGGTTGTCATTAAGACATATCACTAAAACATTTCCATAAGACATGTTGTTGTCACTAAGACATAAATTGGACAGGTGGTCACTAAGACACATCATTAGGACAAGTGGTCGCTAATACATTTAAGTAAGATAGGCGGTAACTAAGTCATATCAGTAAGATAGGCGGTAACTAAGTCATATCAGTAAGACAGGTGGTCACTAAGACATATCTGCAGTTAGACAAGTGGTCACTAAGACATATCAGTAACACAGGTGGTCACTGAGATATATCAGTCATATGATTGGTCAAAAAGACATATCTGTAAGACAGGTTGTTGTTACTAAGACATATCAGTAAGACAGGTGGTAGCTTAGACATATCAGTAAGACATGATGAGGTCACTAAGACATTATCATAAAGTAGTTGTTGATGCGACACATGTTCATTCGGACTGTTTATTGCTAAGACACTATCAGAAAGACAGGTAGATGATGAGACATTATCAGTAACACATATGAACATTAAGACATTCTGGTTACTTAAAAATGACTTGACTTTAGATTACTGAGGAAGGGTCACTAAGATATATCAATTAGACAGGTGGTGTGAAGACACATGACAAGTAAGACAGGTGATCATTCAGACATGTGATCAGTTATAAGTAAGATGGTAGCTAAGGTATAGGACATATAACTACAGACATGTGGTTACTGCGAGTGATGGTTACCAAGACATGCCATTGCTAAGATGTATTACGATTATTGGGACAGGTGATTTAGTTTAAGATGCGTTCCAACTTATATTTTGCTGCATTTTCGTTTCGAGATTCTCTGATACTTATGAATGACTGGTTAATTAATTTTTTATATTTTTTCGTTTCTTGCATTTACCAGCTAATAATCCTCATTATCAAACCTAAGCTTATGATTGAATATTAGATACTCTGAATATATATCCGTGGTATATCTGTGTGTATATGAATATATATGGTATTAATTTCTGATGTCGGTCAGAACACAAGGTGTACATGTAATCTGCCAGACATCCAATAATGATAATATAGATCTCTTTTTAAATCCAGACATCGAGGTCAGAATGCTTACTCCTCCTCTGATTGGTCGATGTACAGGAACAAAATATCTTCCCACGAAAATGGTTTCAGTTTCTCTAAATATACCATCTTATCATCTCTCTGTTGAAAAAAATAGAAGTTTTGTTTTGTCTGTTTCAAGTTTGTCATTGTAAATACCAAAAAGGTAATAAAATCCAGCACCAACACTCAATAAAATCCCCAGTAGGATAAGATACCTTCATCGTTACTATAGCAATTCCGACAGTGGAGTTTGTTGACCCGCACTCGTACGTCAGCTCCTTGGGAACCGTTGCCGAGGGCCTGGTGACACACGCAACATCGGAAACATTGTACGTGGTAATACAGGCCGAGGGACTCTATCACCATGGCAGCACCAAAGCCTAGCGGAAGAATGTAAAAATAATAAGATAATATACGGAAATATCTTCATAATTTCATAAAACAGTCATTGTAGTACAATTCTTCATGTATTTTTTTTTTTTACTTTAGTGAAAATTTAGATTTATTTCATTCAGGAAAAGCGTTTCGGCAAAAAGTATTTATCATGAATAAAGATTGTTTTTCATTTCTATAAATGAATCAGGAATAAAAATTCCGAAGGATTTTGTTGTTAAGCATAAGCCTTTGTCCCGCTAATAACAAAAACATGATAACAAAAATAAAATTCAAAGTAGCATATCTTTCTATTAGCGGAAACAAAAATGGTATCAATCTGAGGATAATTTTCCTCATTTAAAGCGGAAATGATTCAAACCTAACAGCCTTACCAAGTTCCTGGCTACAGTAGGAGCAGGCCTGCTTGCCACTGACAGCCATGAACTGTTCGGAAGGGTTGAGTGGGGATGAAGGCGATGACATGGACGATGCTGTAGATGAGCTGGAGGTTCGCGTTTGCTTTGGAGGAGCATAGGGGTCTCCCCTTTGTTTTGGGCTCAGACTACTGTAGTTGAAGTTTTGTGGTAACGTTTGAGACATAGCTTTGGTGTTCTGTGATGCTGGTGTGTAATGACGATTATCTAGTCCATGACCCTGACTCACATTACTAGACAACGATCGAGGTTGCGTTAAGTTACTTCCCTGTGCGTTAATGGACGCTTGCTGTTTTGGCAAGAAAGAATCGTCACGCCAGCGATTTACGATTCCATCAGACACTGGTTGAATTGCGCCACTGTGAGAATTCTGATTGGGTGTTGCTTTACGCCGACGTTCAGCTTCCTCAACCAGCCAATGTTCATGCAAGTTTGGACTAGACCTGTTATTATCAGATCTTGATTTTGAAACAGTCTTTTGTGGTTGTTGATCCTCTTTCATCCAGTTACTGGGAGCCCTATACCTTGGTTTAGGAACAGCAGTCAGGTTGTGAAGATCATTCTTTGTTGGTGCTTCTCTACTAGTAGATAAATCCTTTGTCTTAGAGGGCTCAGCAGAGTTCACCTCTACCTCAGGTTTTCGCTGAAGGGGCGTAGCTCTCCTATTCATCGCTAACATATCTTCCCGCGTAAGTTTTTGTCTCGGTGGAAGCTCCTCTTTTTGAGGCGGCCATGTTAGATCCAGTTTTCGTAATGATTGTTTGCTGTCTGTATTTGCAGAAGTTGCAAACTGAGACTTTGGATTATTGTTTTGGTGGTTTTGGAAGACTCTTGATTCTGGTTTTTTATTTTCTTTCGTTGCGATTTGATGTTTTCTGCTGCGCTCCAGTTCTTCTCTCTCCCTTTGCATGCGTTGTTGTTCTTCCTTAAGTTTTTCTTTTTCTAGTTGTAACAACTCCTGAAATCAGATAAAATAAGTAAATAAAAAAATAATACTTGATGATTTTTTATAAAAATTATTTGTTCGAAATAAATCTCATTGTTGAACTTCACACAAATATCAAAATAATGAAGGAAAGTAAAATATTTAGCAAAAATTTAATTGTATAAAATAAATATTTGATTGAAATCAGAAGACTACTCGGCTACCTGTGAATAGCAAAGGATTCTACGGGATTTAATGGTATCATATGGATGTCTGAACAATATCATTAAATTCTCCCTATATGACCATTTCTAATGCCCGTATGTGTTCAACCCTTCTGTTAGAACAGATCTAAAGTTTCTATAATTCTTTCATGATGTAAACAATAACTTTTAAATCAAGTACATTTTAGGAGAGTTGCAGATGATTTTGTTTATCCTTGGTAACCATTGACTTTAGGATGACCTTTGACTCCTGGATAACCACACAATTTGGTGAATTTTGACTCAAGATAACCTTGAACTACTGGTTAGCTGCTGACAATAGGATAACTTTTGACTCCTGGGTAATACAAACACCAGGGTGACCTTAAACTCCTGAGTAACCCCTGACTTGAAGACGACCTTTGTCTCCGGGATAACCATTGACCTTGACACTTACCGCCTGTCTTTGTAACTCTTCTTCTTTCTCCTGTATCCTCCTTGTCTTCTCCTCCTCCTCTTCTTCCCATTGTTGTTTCCTTGCCTCTAGTATCTTCTGCTCCTCTTGTCTGATCAACTCCCGCTCCTGCTCAATGGTAGCTGCAAAACCATTCAAAACAGAAGATAAATAAACACACACGATAAAACAATCCGTTCATTACTGCCATAAAAAGGTTTAAAATCGGATACAAAACATATTTCTATGTGCCAGTCTGTTCATCACGGCCGGACAAAAACCATCGTGTTATAAAGGTACGGAACCTGTGTTGAATCATTTTCACCACATTTAACCTAACTAATTCAAAATTTAGCAAGTCTTTGTGAGATGCCAGGTATTAATTAAACTCTGTATATCAATTAAGAAAATTTGAATCACATTTCCCTGAGAGTTTTAAGTAAATACTATTATACTGTTACAGCATTAGCAAAACATTCAGTTATTGATAGTAAATTAATCACTTAGAAAGGACTTAGCTAATTGACTTTAGGAGAATATTGAAATCCTATTTAGGTGTTTCACACCAAGAGATATACAGTTGGTATTAAACAAGTCGCTGCAAATGCTTGCTCTGCAATATCGATATATGACATAATCTTATTGGACTCAGAATTTGAAGTTTAAAATGTATTATGGCAGTTTGAAAACAGCTAGTTGAAAATTGAGTAGCTTTTTTGCCATTAGGGATATTTCCCCTTGGTAATAAAACCACCTATTCCAAACTAACAATCAATAGGTCCCTCACAGGCAGTGCTTTTCTATATGGAGAAGGCCAGTTGCAGTCAACTGTTTGTTCTCAAGAATATTGGTGCTGAGGTTATTTTAATTTTTTGGTCAATTTTTCACTCCCTTTGAAGTAGTTCTTTCATTTCTGATGGAGCCTTGTCAACTTAAGTTGTTATTTGAACAATCCTATTTGTTAACTCATTCAGCCCTGAAGACACATTTGAACTCTTCCTATTCAAAGGTTGGAATAGTTCATTATGAAATTTCAGGGGTGAATGAGTTAATATGTTGAACGCTCTCAGAAATTTAACTTGGTGATTGACTTTTTTATCAATCCTCGTGGCATGAGCCAAAATACTAGAGTTATCTCCCTTTAGATGTATGTATGATTTGTGCTAGTTCCTTACCGGGGCTGGACAACGTTCTGGGCTCTGTTTGTTCACGATTGTTGATGTTGACATGGAAACTGTACTCTGGTAAATTGATATCACTGCAAAGTACAAAAACATCAGAGATATAATGTCGTTCTTATACAACATCCATAGCAACAAATGAATACTCAAATCTAAACCATACTAATTAACAATACTGCAAAATATATCCGACTTTCTGAGATTTGATTAAAATATGTTTACTTGTTTTTTTTTTAATTACAACAATTATAAAACAAGTTATTTCAACTTATATCAATCACTCTTGTTGGCCCAGATGTTAGCGTGTGGGGTCTTGATGTGGGAGGAAACTTGATTACCAGAAGAAAACCCACGTGGTTGGGCAGGTGACCCCATACCTTTTCACGTAGTCCAATGGGTGAATCGAACCCCGGCCCCCTTGGTGAAAGGCAAGTGCGCTATTCACCGCACCATCTGACCACATGAGATTTGATTTGCTCATAATTAAAGCTTAAATTAAGAAGGTATCAACTTAGTACAAGATAGAATTAGATTTGACTTACTTTTCTGTCATCTGGTTTCTGGGGTCAATCTGGAGCAGTCCTGGGTTATAGGAGGAGACAACTTTAAGAGACGTCGTTTTGACAGGAGCCTCACTGTGATCAGGAATCTCTAAGGTGACTGGTTGACCGACTTGTGTCTTGGGTGGTGGCATCGAATTGTTCTCTTGGTGTTCCAGTTTTATCACCTGGGATTCTACATCGGGTTCTGTATCATTCTGAAACAGTACATAGTTTGCGAATTATAATGTGGTAATTTTTTTTAAAAATCATTCAGAAAAAGCTTTGCCATCTTTAAAATTTGCCAACAGAATTTTCCAAAAATAATTCAACACTGTATCAAATATTAAGTTATTTATCTGTGATGCAAATTTAAAAAACAAATATTCAAAATCAGAATTCTGCTTTTAAATTTTCATGTCTATATATTCCTGATATTGTTGGTATTACAAGTACAATGCAATTCTTGGTATTTGATGAAAAAAATTGTGTTCTAATTCATTTTCGTAATTTCATCATCTTGCAAACATAAAATGAAATTAAATTGCTCACAAAAAAATTCTGAATATGTGATATGTCCTTGAACACAACTCCAAGGTGTTTGGTTAAACATATCAGGTTGCTAGGATCAGGTTGCCTAGCAACCTACATGCGCCATTACTGGAGGATTATGTTACTTAACCCAACGTTATTTTGTGATAAAACAGTTCTATTGTGAATATGGTATATCATTTTACTTATGATGGCTGTACCGTTTTGTCTGTGTTGATAATGGAAGACTCCCATGGAAAGGAAGCACTCATACGTTTCTCCTCCTTTGGTGGTTCATATGCCGGGTAAGCAGAGTAGGCTGACTGGGGTCGGGGTTTTCTCTGTTGCCAACGTCTAAGGATTGCTGGGGGTCCACCGTCATCCTCCTCCTCAGCTGCTGATGGAGGAGATGAATTGATCGGAGGGGATGCAGGAGGCTCCCACTTATAGCTACTTTTCGTTTCTGTAATATAAATATTTCATCTTGTAAAGGTAGATAATTCCAGCAATGTGATGTATCTCCAATGAAAAAGAGTTCCAATTTGTTGAGCATTTTCTGATTTGATTGAAGCTGCTTGCCTGTTTATAAAGGAAGGAAATATATTTATTGTAATTTCCTTTTTCACAAAAAAGTCTCGGCCACTGAGGGATTAAAACCCTGGACCTCCTGATCATACTGATGAGAGCTTATCCACTACACTTCCAGTCATTCATATTTGATATGTTCGGTATTTTTACAAAATTATAAAATATTTCAACTCCCTTTAAAGTAGCCCACAAGTTTTCATTTTCTTTCTGTGAATGTAAAATAAATTGAAAAAATTTAACTGAAAATAAGTTTCCAAGGCTTGTACAGAAAAGAGAATTATTGGGATTATGACTGAATTTTATTTTGAGAGTTATTGTCCTTTGCAGTTTTTCATTATTTTAAATTTCTATCATATAAATCAAAGGATTCCCCAGCTGTCTTTTATATAATGCACACTAATTATCTTAAAGTGCATTACCTGGTGGTTCCTTTTTCTTGACTGTGATTGTTTCACGAGTGGAAATAGTCACTTCCTGTTTAGGAATTGTTTCCGTTTCTGGTGCTTTCTGTAATGACATCACATCCTGTTGCACTGGGCTACTGAAATCCATTTCCTTTCTGACAAATGTAATTGTCTCATCAACGCCCCGGCCATTATCCACTGGGCTCGGAGGTTTAATGAGCTCCGTCTGGGCAAAAAAAAAGAATCATAGTTTAAAACAACCTGTCTACTGATATATGTTGGTTTTTGTTTTTCTTTTACATTAAGTGTTACTTGTAATGAATTAAATTTACATGAGCCAAGAATTACTATAAAAAAAATGCTTTTTAATGATAGAAATCAGCATTTAATTTTGGTATATTTCTGAGGAGAAGCATTACTTTCTATTAATATTTAATTTTTCATTTCATAAAGCAGTCATGTGGCCTGTCATAGCTGAACTTGAAGACCTTCAATAACTTACTGACCTTGATTATCCTTCCCCTGAATTCATGACCTTGAGGGTGCCTTCTGTAATATTTTTTGACAAAAAACTCACCTTGACATAATTGACCTTGACATCATTGTTGTTTGTTTCCTCCTCAAGGCGAGATTTTTCAGCATAAGAAGGAAAGATCTGGAAAAGAAAATATGTTCTTGTCATATCATCAACCTATTGTAGATATTACTGATTATTGTATAACATCTCAATGCCATTAACTCATTCACCCCTGAAATTTCATAATGAACTATTCCAACCATGAAATTGGAAGAGTTCAAATGTGTTATCAGGGGTGAATGAGTTAATTTAAAAACAAAAGTACAGTTACCATCATATGAATTATGATGATACAATATTTATAACAAAAGTATAGTAACAGAAATGAAACAAATGTGAACTTTGACCTTCATTGATGACCTTGTCATGATCAATACAGCAATGACTCCTAGTGCTGTTATACATGAACTATATGATAAAACAGCTGTACAAGGACTGCACTACATGTGAACTACAGTGGCTGGAATTTGTTTGAACTCTGACCTTGTCTTCGGAGTGAAAAAGTTATACCATGTCAATGAAAGTGCATTAAAATACAAAGGAATTAAAAATATTATGGGCAGATTGGTCGAGTGGTTAACACTTCGGCCTTCCACGCAGACGGCCTGGGTTTTGATCCCCCAAGTCGTCGCACGCATGAAATATCAGAGAAAGTGTTTTTCTCCTGCCCACACAACTCTAACAACCCAGGCGGAGTATAAAATGGTCTGGGGTGGATGTTGCGGGATCTGTGATGTAGCATTTAAGTGAGGTGGCACTATAAAAGATGCTGTTGGAAGCACGGTCCCACTACAAACAGAACACAATACATCTCCAGCACACATACACAAATAGGGAGATATTAGCCAGGTGGCATAGGACTAGTAGCTAGCACTAACAAGACAGCTCCTGCAAATTCCTCAAAAATTGTATATCCTAATTGTATAAATTGTATATCTATGTACTGTAAAGCGCTTTAAAGTGGCTTATGTTAGCTAGATAGGGCGCTATATCAAATGTTGTATATTATTATTATCATTATTATTATTATCTGGGAAAATAATACAAAATCTTTGATTTCAAATTTTTCCTCCAGGTGTGATCTTGATCCTAATGTGAGGTTTAACCACTCCCATGATAATCGTACATATATGTCACACAGATGTAAAAAAGTTTTTCATACCAATTACAGTAAAGACTATGAATACATTTAACATGATTGAACAGATAATTATTTTTACTAAATTTTATGTCTGTTTTACTTAAACCTTTCGATTTTTGCAGCCCTGTTTACATACCAGATACTGTAGCATGTTATCAAGAAAATCAGACAATCTTCATGCAATTCCATATAAAAAATGTTGTATTCAAATACAATGAAATTAGTATGTATCACATTAGCATCCTTCATTATAAATACAATGCGCCTGTATAATACTATCAATTATATGTATACCTACGTATCGTGTCACAAGAGACCCAAAAGGGAAGATGGCGGTACTCCTTTGTTTTATCATGTCTTCCTGACACACAGTAATGGTAGAGTACCCTAACACAGACTATTTGAGTTTAGCCTACCTTGCTGTCGGAAGGCCTGCTGGGATTTTCTGAAGGAGACTTGAACAATGGCGATGACCTCTGTAGAGGTGACCCTGTCCTATCCTCTTGGGTGTATGTTTTCCTTGTTGTCACGGGCGACGGATCACGACGACTCAGTCGAGCAGAGCCTGGTGTATTTCTGATGTCTTGGGTTGAATAGGTTTGTTGGTTTTCTGTGGGTAATGAACCGCTGTTTTGGTTCCGTAAAGGTGAACCACTTCTGTGGCTAGTCTCAGTCAGGAATGAGTTGGTGTTTTTGGTTTCAACAGGGGAGGCACTCCTTCGATAGGATTCTGATTTCATAGCACCAGGAGATTGATTTTGTGTTCTTTGTGACCTAATTGGTGAGACAGAACTGTAACGGTTTTCTGCACGAGTGCCACTTCCATATCTGTCTCCCGATGGGGGACTTACATACTCCGAGGGTGACTTGCTCACAGAATTGTGGCCTGAAGAGGAGCTGGAGGACCCAGAGGATCCTCGTAGCCGAGGCGATAGTGCAGATGTCAGCTTGGGCACAGGAGATGTCGGGGACCGGGCCGTGAATGCATCCTCCTCATCATCATCATCGTCTTCCTCATCTGTAATGAAGGTATCGACACATGTGTTAAAAGGAATTGTTACGATATTATCTGTAAGCCAACCAGGGCCCGACTGCTTATCATATCACCTGTTAGGCTGTACTTACAATACTTCTGACATTAACACTAAAATTAGTACTGATGTACATTTGATACCTATACAATTTTTGACCTTGACCTTGACCTTTGACTTCTGACCAGAAAACTTTTGTAAAACACCAGATGATACATAGGGTATAATTTGTTGACAAATATTTGCAGATGGTGGCCTTGTCATGAGGGTTATCATATTGAACTCATTCACCCCTAAAATTTTATAATGAACTGTTCCAACCTTAGAATCGGAAGAGTTCAAATGTGTTTTCAGGGGTGAATGAGTTAACATGCTTTTTACTTTGCTGTATGACATGCTGAATATAACATAGAAGGAACAAGACAATGGAAATGAAACAAATGTACAATATTTTATGTTGTGTACCATAAAAAGATGATCAGAAATGAAATCAGGAAAGCAATGGAATTGTCCTTTTACATTTCCTGTTCTCTTTCGGGTTTTATATACTTATTATATATATACACAATATAGTTTAAAAGGATAGTGTTTCCTTTAAATGTTTAAGAAAAGTCCTTTGTTGTTCTATTCCAAAATTTGTTCTGCAATTGGTTAATATCTAGTCTAGACAGAAAATGACCCGTTAGTGACACTAATTGGTCTTTGGCCTCAGACCCCTTGCATATAATCAGATTCATATCTTTTTATTTTTTTTTATTATTATTAATCAAATCCATAGATAAACCTTTGACCTCTGAAATCTCCATCTAAAAAGACCCAAAAATTGACATTGGAACTCTAAACTTCTTGTCATCTTAGCTAACAGAAACAGATAAAAACTTACAACTATAGCATGTGACCTCCTATATACCTAACAGTAACTGGCCTCCGACATCCTTTATTTAATCAGAACCAGAAGAATGCTGTGATGTAACTTTAGGCTTTAACATCTATCAATCAAAGTAACCAATATTGAGAAATCATTTAGATAACATGGCCATATCAAAAACCATACAAGCTTTACGAGTCATTCCTGGACATTTAAAAAAAATTTTTTTTTGAGAGATAGTCCATAATAAATTATTTGCTAGATTCTCATCCCCGCCCGCCCCCTCTTTGAGGCTCCGCCCCAATATTTTTTATTTGCGAAAAAAAAACGAAAATACGAAATCCGGATTTTTTTCTCCGTTTTCTGCTTCAAAAATTAGTTTTATATTATCAATTTCCGGTTGTAGAAAACTCGTCGTCTGCAAGTACGTTTTTTGTAATTCTAAAGCTGAAACGGCAACTTGCCGTTCTTAAAGATTGGTATGGGTGTTCAGTAGCCGATACTAAAACATTAATGCAAGTCTTTCATGAATTAGCCGAAGGAACAATTGACAAATCTGCGCCCGTCGAGTGTGGTAACAGGGCCGTTGTGTCGGCCGGTAAATCGAAAGTGGAACTGACCAGTGTGATGGCGCATGTACGGTGGGGGAAGTGGTGTCGTACCTCGGAGCTTATTTAGAATTTAATATTGATGCTGATACAGAAGAGCAGTCGGCAACTGCCAGTGCGAAATCCGACGCATTTACAATTTTAATGTCGGGATTTTTCTAAAGCAACAATGGAAAGGTCACTGTAATTAAAAGAGGACGATATGTGAAAAAGTAATGTGGTGTGTATTCATACCAAAAGTTAGCACAGATATATATGTGGACTGAACAGTGAAATGGTGTTCAATGTGTATACTGCATACTCAAAGTTGTTATTAACAAAAAATAAAGATAAATGTACACTGAACATGCGCCTTTATTGCACTATTTTAACACATTTGCAACCATTTCAAATTTTAGGAAAAATAAAAAATAAAAAATAAAATTCGCCCCCCTGCCCCAATTTTGAAAAGAATTTGGATGAGAATCTAGCAATTAATTTATTATGGCCATATCAGATAATTTTAAAACCATTTTTATTTTTGGATAGTTTTGAATCTTTACAGATGAAGCTTTAGTTTTGCATGTACTACAACATTGAACTTCTGTGTTAAATTGTCACGAAGTTGAACAATCAGCCTTGAACATGTTTACTAAAAGGAACACGACTTTAAAGATTTGTTTGACAAGAATGAAAGCATTTGAGATAAAAACAGTAAAAATTTGAAATATGCGGATAAAAACGTTGGTATCAACTGCACACAATCCCGGAAACATTTATTCTTCCGAACAAACAGACTATATAAAACTCTCTTAAAGGCACACTACGCATTCATGCTGCTGAATAGATTATCTATTATTCTTAGAAAGTTTTATTTTAATTTTCCCCTTAACAAAGTTATTTCTTTTATCCTCTGTGTACTCCAGGCTTTAGTGATGAAATGTGATCATCAGCCTATTGACAGAAGGCTTTCCAGTGATAGAATAAGTAGATCACATAACTGCTTCTGGTATTAGGTTCCTATTTAAGGAGGTATATACACCCCTATAAACACATCATTTACATGCTTATATCACTAAGGTTGTGCGAAACTCTCCAGTCTTTTAGATTTTTTTTGTAGAAATCTTCAGCCTTTAAGTGGTGGAGTTAGATATCCAATGAATGTTGAGGAATTAGGTTTCATGAGCCTCCCAGCTCATCAAATGGTCAAAAATATTTTGGTTAATAACTTACAGTTTATAATAATGACATGCAGTCAAATACATATTACATCACACTAACATGTGATATAATATGCATAGACCTCACATAGACCTCTTGCTAAAAAATTTCTACTGACAAAACAGAATTGAAATAAATATGATACATTCAATGATATAACATTATCTTGGATATATTGGCTTAGATTTATATATATATATGGGATAAACCAGATATCAAACTTATGATAATTGATCATGAAATACATCCAGTTTATTCTAAAACTTAGGGGTATAGAATCTTGCATAATGATTAGCTGCGGGAACCGTAGTTCATTGTCCAGTTACTTTCTACATGATGTATGATGGACCACATTATGAAATACATCCAGTTTATTCTAAAACTTAGGGGTATAGAATCTTGCATAATGATTAGCTGCGGGAACCGTAGTTCATTGTCCAGTTACTTTCTACATGATGTATGACATTATGAAATACATCCAGTTTATTCTAAAACTTATAATTAGGGGTAATCATATACCTCATTGAGTGGTTACATATAATCATACTTTATTGTCCAGTTGCATTGATTTATATGATCAACCACGGGTTTACGGTACCAACCCTTTTAAAACTTGTTGATTATGATATAATATGCAGTTTAATTATTCTAAAACTTACGGGTAATCGTAGCTCAATGTCCAGTTAACCCTTTCACCACTGTAGACCATTAATGAACTCATCCAGATCAAAGCATGGAAGTGTTTACTAAAGTTGCATAGGGGTGAAAGGGTTCATTTATATGATCAACTACGGGGCTACGGTACCCTGAGCCTTTTAAAGCTTGTTGATTATGAAATATATTCAGTTTATTCTAAAACTTACGGGTTATCGTAGCTCAATGTGCAGTTGATAATTATATATAATTACATGATCAACCACGGGGCTACGGTACCCAGCCTTTCATAAATCTTGTGATGCTTGATTATGAAATAAATTCAGTTTATTGTAAGGCTTAGGGGTTATCTTAGATGTCCAGTATATTTATAGATAAGATCCACCACAGAGGTACAGTACCCAGCCTATCAAAACTCGTGATACTTGATTATGAAATAGATTCAGTTTATTGTAAAGGTTTATTGTAAAGCTTAGGGGTAATCTTAAATGTCCAGTATATTTATAGAAATGATTAACCACAGAGGTACGGTACCCAGCCTTTAATAGAACTTGTGATACAGCAACATGGGATGAGGCTGATAACAACACCTCACATCATCACTCATCCTCTACATATATTTACTTAGTGATACACCATAGCATTCCTTAGACTTCTGTCTACATGTTGTCACACATCTCTGTATATCTCAAGACAAGAGGTCAAAGGACTTTAAAGGTCACCTTAATGATACACATATATACAACAGTAGAGGTCAAATGTTATACAAATATAGGGCATATTGATAAGCATAAAAGAACAAAAATCATTTACTCATTCACCCCTGAATTCACATTTGAACTCTTCCAATTCAAAGGTTGGAATAGTCCATCATGAAAGTTCGGGTCTAAATGAGTTAAAGATGAGAAGCATTCTTCAGACCCTTTAAAACCCTTCCCCTCAGACCCCGGTGAAAAACATACAATTTGGCAAATTATACATAAAAAAAAAAATCAAAATTCCTTGTACATGTAATGGGTAAATATAAAAGAAACTACAAAAGATTTTCTTAGTACTTTTCCTTTAGAAACTTTTTTGTCGTTTCTTATATAAATATATATACATCTAATATAGTGTCTTTCATTTAATTTTTCCACTTGATTTTGTGACAAGTGTTATTTTCTTATACAAATAAATCTCATTATCTTTTTAGAGTGTAATGACAGTGGCCAGGGTAATATTATTTATATACCGCATATATATTTAAATGATCCCCTGAAAAAAAACACCTTTAGATTTACTGTACTTCATAGAATTTAAAACTTGTCTAAAAAGCATCAAGATCTTTCAAAAGAATATCTTAGTATTCAAACTTGACCTTACCTCCATCACTGATGGTGCGTTTGACCTTGAGCTCGATCTGACCGTGACGAACGGCTTCTTCTATCAATCTCTGAACCTGGGCATGAGCCAGAGCGGAGATGTCACGTCTATTTATAGCCAGTATCTTATCACCCTGTTGTACTTCATTCACATCTGCTGCACCGCCTGCAAATATTAATACAAGCAATCAAGAACAATGAAAAAAGGTAGTCTTGATATTTTTTAATTCTTTTTCCAAAGATCAGTGGTGAATTGCTGAAGTCATCATTTCATGATCAGCTACTACTTTTTATACATAGATTTTTTTTTTTTATGTGGACAAACAATACTCTCAACAAGAATTGCCCAGAAACAGACACGTATACAGCTGCTTTTAGGATCCTGCTTAGACTTGTAATGTTAGCTCTTACATCGAAAATAGAACTAATATGTCTACCAGCACATCAGGGTTCAAATGCTGACAGTAAATACATCGTTAGACCTACTGTCCGACTTCTTAAGGCTTGTTTATAATACATTTTTTTTTTTAATTTGCGATAAATTGTATTACTTCTTTAAAAATATTATTATAGGAAAAAGGGTGACCTCACATTAAACTTGTAAGCTGTATACCATGTATAATTCATGCTATTATTATATCTATAGGAACAATACATTAATAGCTCCTACAACTGTTCTCACAATGATCTGACCTTTGACCCCTTACCTTGACCATAACCTCTATCATGTACCAGAAAATATGATGCAACACTCCTTTTCAAGTCATAAGCCATAAATAGATAATGTATGATGTTTCAGGAACCCTGATCACGACTGACCCTAATTAACCTCATGATCAGACCATCACAATATTTGAATGATCCAAAAACTGAAAGCATCTTGATGACACCGACACGTGTGCCAAGATGGTGTGTCAAACCTAATTGATGTTTCTCAATTTTTCGAAAGGTCTGCATATAAATGGCAAAAAAAAAGCATCAAAATCAGCACGCCAATTGGGCATTGTTGTTCTCAAGTTTGGTAATTTTTGTAATTTGATAAATAAGCAGCCCCCCCCCCCCCCCTTTAAAAAAATAAAACGAAAATAAACCCTGTCCAACATTCCCTATTCTCAGTCATGTTGCCTGGCATATTTTGGTTTTGGCCTAATACACACAGCTATATGTCAAGCATAAAGAATATCTTCAGGTGATCCATAGTTATGGTCTAGACAAACAGTTTAATGACTTGACCTTTGATCTCCTGCCATGACCTTGGCCTCTAGGGTATAGGCCTAAGCGTGCTACATGACAGGCTGTCATGTAACGATAATGCATATCATGAGGTATGATAATAAAATCTTGTGGCAATCTGAATTGACCTACAGTTTAATTATGACTCGACAGTTCAAGCCATGTCATCAGTAAATGTATGTTGGTATAATTATATAAGATCCCGGGAAAGAAAATTATACACCAATGTATATAAATTAACCATGAAAATGTGAACCTCTAATTAATCATCCGGGAATCCTGCATTCTATAAATCTAGATATATCATAGATTTAACACAAGTGAGATCATAAGGGTGACATCTGACTGTCAGACTATCAAAGCTAGCAATTTAGGTATTTTGAATGATGACCAGCTGTCCCGACTATCAAATCTATCAAATTAGGCATTTTGAATGATGACCAGCTGTCCGACTATCAAAGCTATCAATCTAGGCATTTTGAATGATGACTAGCTGTCCGACTATCAAATCTATCAATTTAGGCATTTCGAATGATGACCAGCTGTCCGACTATCAAAGCTATCAATTTAGGTCTTTTGAATGATGACTAGCTGTCCGACTATCAAAGCTATCAATTTAGGCCTTTTGAATGATGACCAGCTGTCCGACTATCAAATTTTTCAATTTTGGCCTTTTGAATGATGACCAGCTGTCCAACTATCAAAGCTATCAATTTAGGTATTTTGAATGATGACTAGCTGTCCGACTATCAAAGCTATCAATTTAGGTCTTTTGAATGATGACCAGCTGTCCCGACTATCAAATCTATCAATTTAGGCATTTTGAATGATGACTAGCTATCCGACTATCAAATTTTTCAATTTTGGCCTTTTGAATGATGACCAGCTGTCCAACTATCAAAGCTATCAATCTAGGCATTTCGAATGATGACTAGCTGTCCGACTATCAAAGCTATCAATTAAGGCATTTTGAATGATGACCAGCTGTCCGACTAATCAATGATGACCAGCTGTCCGACTATCAAAGTTATCAACTTAGGTCTTTTGAATGATGACCAGCTGTCCGACTATCAAAGCTATCAATTTAGGTATTTTGAATGATGACAAGCTTTCCGACTATCAAATCTATCAATTTAGGTCTTTTGAATGATGACTAGCTGTCTGACTATCAAAGCTATCAATTGAGGCATTTTGAATGATGACCAGCTGTCAGACTATCAAATCTATCAATTTAGGTCATTTGAATGATGACCAGCTGTCCGACTATCAAAGCTATCAATTTAGGCATTTTGAATGATGACCAGCTGTTCGACTATCAAATCTATCAATTTAGGTATTTTGAATGATGACCAGCTGTCCCGACTATCAAATCTATCAATTTAGGCCTGTTGAATGATGGACAGCTGTCCGATTATCAAAGCTATCAATTTAGGCATTTTGAATGATGACTAGCTGTCCCGACTATCAAAGCTATCAATTTAGTTCTTTTGAATGATGACCAGCTGTTCGACTATCAAAGCTAGCAATTTAGGCATTTTTAATGATGACTAGCTGTCCCGACTATCAAATCTATCAATTTAGGTATTTTGAATGATGACCAGCTGTCCCGACTATCAAATCTATCAATTTAGGTCTTTTGAATGATGACCAAACTGTCTGACTATCAAATCTATCAATTTCAGTCTTTTGAATCATGATATGACCAGCTGTCCAACTATCACAGCTATCAAATAAGGCCTATTGAATCATGACCAACTGTCCATGTTCAAGCTTTCATTATAATTGCTACGTACACAGCGAGGATTTTGGTACGGTGGCTGGCTGTCTGACTATATACCTACCAAGTGAGACCTTTTGTACGATGACTGGCTCTCGTTTATCAGCACCACCCGATATCACAAATCCAAATCCTTTGAGATGGTTTGGTTTTTGACTAATCTTTATTGATTTTTCGACTGATGCCTGCAAAAAAAATAACATATAACACAAATTAAATATTGTGTGCAAATCTTTTGTAAAATTTCAAAAAAACACCTGACTTTTTCAAGAAAACCACAATTATTACTGTACTGTTATATTTCAGCCTATTAAAATTTTAGCACAAATTGATGAATTGGCATACCAACAATAATAAATGCAACAGAAAATAGTATACAGAAATTTAAATTATTGCAATCATAATTTTGCATAATTACAAAATCTGAATTGAGCAATAAAATAAGATTACCACTTAAAATATATGCATGCTTACAGTTTATAGATAATATCAACCTTCACTTTCACATACCGGTTCTTATACATATATATATATATAGGTCATTGTTGATTTCGACAGGCTTATTTGTGTCTGGAAGATATTTGTAAGGTTATAATATTTTGGGTGGTCATGATCATGAAGTGTAAGTGCTTAATTACTATTGCTGCAAATTACTACACCAATGCAATTAATTAACCCATTCAATACATTACCATCAAGAACAGCTCTAGTTGTAGACTTACACTACAGATGTATACCGTATAGGGTCCATGAGTTAAACTTGTTTAATCATTCTTCAAGTTTGGAACATGCAGGGGGTACTTATATTCACAAAATCAGTGAAATAAAACCCCTCAAAACAAATACAACCAATGTCCCCCAGTCTTAAAGCAGAGATTGTACAGAAGAGACAAATATGGGACATGTACAATACATACAGTACAAAGAGTTTGCCATGATGATGCCCCCCAGCCTTACATAGGGGATCATACAGAAGAGATATATACAGGGCAATACAATGGTAAAACCATAATGATGCCCCCCGGCCTTACATAAAAGATTGTACAGAAGAGATATATACAGGAAATACAATGGTAACACCATGATGATGCCCCACGGCCTTACATAAGAGATTGTACAGAAGAGATATATACAGGGCAATACAATGGTAACACCATGATGATGCCCCCCGGCCTTACATAAGAGATCATACAGAAGAGATAAATACAGGGCAATACAATGGTAAAACCATAATGATGCCCCCCGGCCTTACATAAGAGATCACACAGAAGAGATATATATGGGGCAATACAATGGTAACACCATGATGATGCCCCCCGGCCTTACATAAGAGATTTTACAGAAGATTTAAATACAGGGCAATACAATGGTAACACCATGATGATGCCCCCCGGGCCTTACATAAGAGATTGTACAGAAGAGATATATATGGGGCAATACAATGGTTACACCATGAAGATGCCCCCCGGCCTTACATAAGAGATTGTACAGAAGAGATATATACAGGGCAATACAATGGTAACACCATGATGATGCCCCCCAGCCTTACATAAGAGATTGTACAGAAGAGATATATATGGGTAATACAATGGTAACACCATGATGATGCCCCCCAGCCTTACATAAGAGCTTGTACAGAAGAGATAAATACAGGGCAATACAATGGTAACACCATGATGATGCCCCCAAGCCTTAAAACAGGTTTCATACAGATGAAACAAATATACCAGTCAATATAAGGGTAAAGCCATGGTGATGCTCTCCTTAGCCTTACAACAAGGGATACACATTCTGATATCCTCCAGAAATGAAAGTGTCGATGAACAGACAGACATTACTATATGGATGAATAGACAGACACACATGTATACATTTCTGTTTTGACTGACAAACAGACAAACAACTTTACTATAGCCAACACATCCTTGATATGGGGCCCTTCATTTTCCTGCAGCAAAACTGATAGTAGAACACTGGAGTATACATACATCAGTATTCCTGATAAGTAGAACAAGTCTTACATACCTTTGTTGGCACGGGAACTGTTTTATCTGTAATAGTTGATCTCACAGGTGTTGTTTCTGCTTTATCCTTTGCAGAAAAACTAAAACTAGAACTTGGAAGATCAAACGAACTCATTTTTTTGACTCCAGATCTACTATAATCCGTACTTGTTTCACTGAATCTTTTCACTTTGGAATAATCTGCTTTAGCTTCCTCCTCCTTTTGTTCGAAGCTTTTTAACAAATTTGACAATTTTCCGGTGGATTTGGTCGGCGTGCCAGCCCCTGGTAATCCTGATTTCCTTTGAGGAGAGGGATCCTTTCTCCTCCAAGAATTGTCTGAACTATCCAACACTGTGTTCCTACTGTTTGACTTGTCTTTGTTTTTATTTTCATTTTTACTGGTGTCCCGTAATCTGTCTAATTCTACAGAGTTATCTTTCTTGCTTGACTCTTCATCACTTGAATCACTAGCAGCCCATGAAGCCCTCTTTGTGTCATCATAATGTATATATGTGTCACTCCCAACTGAACTCTAAAATAAACAAATATGTCATATAATGCTTCATATCTTGAATCAATGCAACACTGACATAAAGATGTGTCAATACCAACAGCTAGAACTGTTAATATTTCTAAAACTTTTTTTATGTTTCTTGTAACTCACTATATATGTATATAGGTATGAATCTCTAAGTGCTATAAGACACTTAATATATGAGCTGTTGGAAATACTGACCCATAAAGTGTAGGGCACCTATACAACATTGAACACAAATGTCCATTACCCTATCACACTAACATATATGGAAGTACACGTACTACAAATGGCGATCATATTCCGTCTATTCGAATTGCAGAGTTATCTGCTCTTGTGAGCAGGTATTGATTGTTACGCCATTGGTTTGTGAGAGTAATGTCATCAATTTTTTGAGAAAACGACGTTATTTTCTCACACAAACCAATGACGTAACAATCAATCCCTGCTCACAAGAGAAGATAACTCTGCAATACGCAAACACGGAATAATAAGTTGTGCTTGAAAAAGTTAGTTAGTTAGCTTATTTACTGCTGAACGGCCCAGCAACAGTGAAGTAATCTCGGGCTTGACAACAATAATGATGGACAATTACAAAACTAAATACTGGTAAACCAAAAAGAACCGGAACAGTAAAAGTGAAAAACCTGTACTCATACATTTAAGTACACAGTGAAAATAATCAGATATCGTTACACAAAGAATTTTAAAATGTCAAATTTTATGGTACAAACCAATTTCACACAGATATTTGAAAATCTTTGACAACTTTATTGAGTGGAACAATGTTTTCATATCAGACACGTCATTATATTTGTCTCCAATATGTTTCTCTCGATCTCTCTGACTTTCTTTGATGTGTTTAATATATATACGATTGTCACCAATATAATGTGCCTCAGAGTTACAAATTTCAATCTTATATATATATGATAGAACACTGCACAAATGTTATTTCATAAAACGATAATATGGTTGTTGGAATATGATATCGGAAAAATTTAACTGGAATAATATCACCATGACATGCATTTCCTTAGGCGATACATAATATTCGACCTTCACTTTATCGGAAATATTAGATGGACCTTTGACCTCTAATAGTGATCTTGACCACGTTGAGTAAGACCCTATAAAAGTATGTGACACATCACTTTATGGTAATTCTCTATCAATTTCAATGAGGTTTCTGCAATAATGATGAGGTCAAGGAAACCCAGACATATATTTGACCTTGTCTTTAACATTTGATAGTGACCTTGACCTTAAGTGAAGGCAACTTAAAATAGTTGTATGTGACACATTGTCTTGTGATACACTTGTGTATTAATTAACTTCAATGTGGTATCAGCAGACATAAGAAAGGACGGTACAGGAAATGCTGACATTTGACTTTTAACAATGACCTTGACCTTTGAAAGAGGTACTTGAAAATAGGTTTCGAATAGAGAAGGTGTTTGCATGGACAGACATACCAGATAGACATTCGGGTCTCGTAATTTTATACTGAACCATTAATTATTCAAGTTTTATGGAAACAAAGAAATAGCTGGACAACGAACACACAACTAAGAACTGAAAGTTCTCTTGAACAGAGATAGAAAACATTTCCATTATTTTTAATGCTAATATGCTATTGATAGAGGTTAAAAAAAGGGGAGACAACTTTACACGTACAGATCGGTCCTTTGGTGTCAGCATGGGAGCCTTCGCCCTTTGTCGTGACGGAGCCTCAGACTTGACCTTTGACACCGATTTTTTCTCCAGGACCTCCTCTATCGGAGCTGCGCTGGCTGGGACCTTGACCGAGGTGAAAAGGTCGTCATCGTCATCAACAGGGTAAAATGACATGGGCTTCTTCAGCAATGGTGTGCCTGTGCTTTTTCTCCTCTCCCTGTAACAACATATTCAATAAATCTATAATCTTTATAATGATATATTATTTGGTACCTACACACATCTTTGTGTATGGCCATTTTTAACTGTGATGAATTATATTCACTCTAATTGTTAGACAATCTTAAGGAGTGCTTCAGATTTTGTTTGACCTTTCAAATTATTAATATTTGTATTTATAATGTGTAGTTTTAACCCTTTCACCCCTATGTAACCTAAGTAGACTTTTCCTTGCTTTGATATGGATGTGTCCATTTTAGTCTACAGTGGTGAAAGGGTTAACCAGTAATATTTTCAATATCTATTATCATATTTTTTATAACCAGGTAAAATGTTTAAAGTAGAAAATTACGTTGATATTTCATCTTCTTTGAGAAATAACACTTTCTTTTTTTCACACTAAATATCAACCATTCAGAAAACAGAGCTTGGTAAAACAAGAACAAACAATGTCCTTGCAAAATGTTTTTCGTATTTTCTCTTGTGCTTTGTCCTTGTAAAAAATAATAATTAAACCCACCTTTTGCGAAATAAACAAATTCACTGTAATTTATCAAGAAACCAAGAATATTTTGTTTTTTATAGTTTTTACCAAGAAACCAAGAATGTTCACTACTAATACACAAGTCATGGCGCCGGCCTTGTATATTACTTGTATGTATTCAATCTGAACTTTGAATGCAATTCACAGCTCAGTTAAATTAACATATTTTTCGAATTCTTTTCACGAAAAATTGTGAAAATGATCCTGTACACAGTATGACCAATAGGAATTTGAATATTGATATCATTATTTTTAAGCTGTTTTTTCAGGTCTGTGTACGACCTTTGAACTTAGAATATACTTTCATGTTAAACCTGGATGATTCCTTTTATACTTTTATACTTTTATACTTTCTCTACCATCTGTTCGTAGCTTTTTGAATGTTGATATTTGAACTTTGTCTTTTTTACTGGTCTGTGAACAACCTCTGAACTTAAAATGGACTTTTACCTTTCTTCTACCATCTGTCCGTAACTTTTTACTTGTTTCCTCTCCTCCTCCTCCTCTTTCACATTTTTATCGGTTTCTTCCACCCTTTGTAACTGTGCTTCTGATTTTCTTCTTCGTTTGTTTCTCCAGTCACTGAAATTCTGTTTTGGGTAAAACACACACATCATTAAATAAAACTCAATTTGAAAAGGTTTTTCCTTCAAATTCTGTTGAATTTACACACACCAGGACCTGTGGCTTTCTACATTGTAGTCTTAAAAAGTTAAAGTCACATTTGAACCTTACCAGATAAAAAACTGGGCAAGTCCAGTCTCTGGACAACTCTTCCACCCCTGAAGACACATTTCAACTCTTCCAATTCAAAGGTTGGAATAGTTCATTATGAAATTTCAGGGGTGAATGATCATGAGTTGAAAATGTAGAGATGAATGAGTTAAAACTATATATATACAACCAGCTACATTTATCATATATGCAAGGTCTGTCATGCATTATAATGATGCTATATGATAAAGTTTTCAATATCGTTACATGTGTAATATCAAACATCACATGTTCAAAATAGAAAACTGCATCTTTTGCTATATATGGCACCAACAGTAACAATAGTTTTAATTGACGAAGTTTTATACATTCTTGGTGATTGCGAAATACCAAGGTGCATCAGAGTCAGGATGCTGCTGTTTTATCCTGAACTCATTCACCCCTAAATACACATTTGAACTCCTCCAATTCAAAGGTTGGAATAGCTCATTACGAAATTTCAGGGGTAAATGGTTTAAAGTCATGTTTGAACCTTACCAAATCAAAGTCTGGGCAAGTCCAGTTTATAAATGTAGGGGTGAATGAGTTAATTAACATACTTCATAATATATACATATATATTAAATTACTGTCTTTATAATTGTGAAAGAAATGATCAGATTGACAATAAATGTCTGCTGGGAGTCTGATATTAGCAGAGTACAACAGTCCATAGTAAAACGAGTCAAGAGCAAAACGAGCAAACCATAATACAAGCAACTACAGACTAGAGTATATCTTTATATACTAGCATTCTCATCCTAAGTCTTTATTAGCAGATTCCATACATTTTTTCCCCTTTTACTGACTAATTCAAATAAGAGTTATAAGACCTTACAACATCTTCAATTTTGGCATTAGATTATTTGAGACATTTTTAGACTTTGACATGTAATTAATAGTTCCCTCTGAAATGTTTTTTTTAAGGTTGGTAAGTATGAACTTAATAACATTACTGGTTAAATCTGTGTTAGCGAATGTGATCATTAATTATATTGTACTTTAATTTTGTGATTTGTATGCAATTTGCAACAGCCCATAACCTTTGTTTGACAAAGCATGCCTCCCCCAGGGGGCCCACTCCCTTAGCATTCCTGTGCTGGGTGTGGTGGTGGTTGTTGTACATAGTAATTCCCTTAAGACAATAGGGAGAAAAGAACTGACCAATGAGGGCGACAATAAACTGGGGAACCTCCGGCAGAATCTAAGGTTTTCACTCGTGAGAAAACAGAACAAATCCTGAACTACACCTAGTGCAATACTGAAAATCTGTTTCTCCCCCATAAGACTGAGATAGCCACACTTCCTGTCAGGAGAAGACATCTCTGTCTTACCTTAGGGTAATTATAAAGATGATGGGATTCCCCTGTTGATGTGACATGTCAACAACGCAATAACGTCATGTAAGCAATTCCGTCTTTGCGTATTGCAGAGTTATCTTCTCTTGTGAGCAGGTATTGATTGTTACGTCCTTGGTTTGTGAGAGAAAATTACGTCGTTTTCTCAAAAATTGATGACGTTTCTCTCACCAACAAATAACGTAACAATCAATACCTGCTCACACGAGCAGATAACTTTGCAATATGCAAGGGGTAAATAATATTCAACAATGTCTAGCCATCGGCAAAGCCTTGGGCAAGACATTTAAGAATCTTACCCCATGGATTGAGATTTTTCAGTGTAACCTCCAAGTAGGGGAAAAAGTATACTGTCCTTTTTCTACAACTTCTTTACTTTTGCCATATCATTTTGCAAATTTTTGACCATATGATCTTAATTCTATTGACCAATCAATGGCAATCATATCATATTGATAAACCATTAACACTTTATGATCTGCAAGTCAAATCAAAATATCATCACCAGACAAAAAATCATGTTTTTACTTATTTTGCAAAATAAAAACATTCTCAAAGTTAATATTTTTATCTGCATTAATTGATCTTGAGGAAAGTTTAAAAATATTTATATAGCCCCAATATACAAACCTAAATGGCAAACGATTTTGCCTAACATATTTCGAAAAAATAATGTACATGATTATACATAATACCATTGCATAGATGTAACACCAAGCAGAAAATCTAGACATAAATATACATTATTTACCAAGCAGAGATTTCAAATTGCAGATCTAGTGACAGATTGTATGTACATGGACTACCAACAAAAGTCTATACATGTGTGCTGTTGAATAACAAACAGATCATTCAAACAAACGTAATATTGGCGATAATGTTTCAAAGCAGTGAAGTGTATGCAATATCATGCCGCAGCAACTACATCAAAACCATCAAAAAATGCTACAGGAAATATTAGGTTATCCACCAATTTAAAAGTCATTACATGTTGATTTCAAGGTTGCTGCAAGCAACCTCATGATCAGACCACTTTGGCGCTTGAAATATTTTCTTTGACAAATTTGAAAGACCCCATTTGAAGAAATTAACTAAAGAAGATTTCTAAAAACAAAAATTTGATTCTGAAACTGGAAATTGATTCTTGCATAAGTTCTGCATATCTTTCAAATAATGTTTCCTTAATTAACCATCATATCTTACTTACTTGATTGTTCTTAATACATTAATCTATTTGGAAAGAATTCATTTGTGATCAAGAAAGGGTTAGAAAGAATTTAGCTTCAGATTTCGTAAACAAAACTGGTGGATGACCTGGTCGGAATATATAGACACACCATACATATGTACTGGTGGATATAGACGGGAAAACAGATCCAGTGGACGAGCACACAAACCATCGCAGCTAATCTCCTAACTAGAGGTGAACAACAAATTCCCTAGATTACAATCGGCCTCAAACAAGAATTTGAACAGTTCACTCGGTCTCTGAAGACACACTTTGACTAATTGCTTAATTATAGTATCATTATTTGAATGACAAATCTAACGAACATAAGCGCTTTTCTTTAAAAAAGATTTCAAACCAAATGTTCTTTTTTCCTTTCAATTAATTTTTATTTTGTTTGTATTGACAAATATTTGAGGAGGATTGTAAGCCTTAGGACCCGATACAAAGTCTAAGAAACTCACTGCTTTCCAATCCTCAACTTGATCGCTGGCCCAAGGCTGAAAGTCAAAAATATAGTCACCTCCATAACTATCGGAGTCAGATCAAGAGGAGACAACCCTCACTATTATTTACGAGTTCCACAGGTGATGGAAACCCTTCATTGTTTTAATCAATCTCTGAGACATAGTAGCCACATCCTGTGTACCAAGTTCTGCCTGTAAATAATGCATATGTCTGTGCCTCAATACGCTGTACCTTGGGACCATAACTGTTTTTACCTGCATCATTTAGTAATCAAATACCAACATTATTTGAGCGATACATGGAAAGGTAAGCTATATGTGATAAAGACTAGCTGTCCCACAGGAAACAATTAAACCTGCATACCTGGTGTTTGGAATAGGCGGTAGAACCCATTTACATTGAGAACTGTCAGTTCAAAGTTGTGAGATCAATATTGACATTGGTGCGAGAAGCAGGCCATAAGGTGCCAGATTGATGAAGATTGAGATACAATTTTGTGTCGGTCAATTGTGAAATCAGATTATTTCGTGGGACCCAAATTCCATGTTTTCCCCGACAAAACACCACTTTGTGGATAATTGAATTCGTGGATAAAGAGTACCCACTCAAACAGAGAATTGCTTAATATCAGACTTGTAATTACTTTGTGGACCCATGAAATCGTGAATGAAGATTACCCACGAAATCAATGAAATTAAAACCCCCACTAAAATGAGAGATTTCACAGTATTTGATCCTTTTGTATCATGTTGAGCCTTATACCTCGATAACAGGAATATTTATGGCTATAACCATGCATTAATGCAGAAATTTGTATCCTTACATAAGATAATAGGTCAATCAAGAACAGAAAACTCATTAGGTGTTTTCCAACAAGCGGATGGCCTAATTCTCCATTGTGATGTCATCATGCAAGTGGGTGTCATTTTGGTTCAGATTTGCCGTCACAATTATGATGTTACAAAAAATATTTTATTATTTGACACCCCAGAGATGAGTTATTTCATGAAGTGTGTCCACTACCACACCGGCGATAAATCACAAATTCTATTTCATCACTTGACCAATTTCCCCATAGGAGACATTTTCATATTTATAAAGCTTTGAATTATTTTAAAATTTCCATTAATTCTCTCACTCTCTGAAACACATGGACACAAACAAAATTAAAAATCTATTCTAAATTAAAAAAATTCAAACTTAACCTTGAATGACCACCATATAATAATTATATTGATAAATCATAAAGAGAATGAACCATAATGAATCATGGTCATTAGTCCACTTTTCTTCCTAACATAATTTTTTACTTTTGAACACTTTTTCATGAATATTCATGATACATGTATATGGTTGTCAAACCATATGAGTCATATATGACACATAATTTCTGATGAATATTCGTCATTTGTGTTATTCAATTGGAAATTGATTAAATAAAGCATTACTTATATTATAAAATTTTGTAACGTCATCAAAGTAATATTTTTATTTATGAGTACTAGTGCTACTGTAGTTTCTCAAAGCATTTACAATAAAAGAGGCCCATCCAATTATCAAATCTATCGTTGTAAAATGCTTTTATTAGAATTAACATTGCAAATAAGATCCCAAGGATAGGGCCTGGGCCAGTCTTCAGCACAAACTCCTGACAGCATCTTAGCAACCAAAACTTAATGATCAGTAATTGTATATATTGTTTTAAAATGAACATCTGAAATGCATCATTGTTATAAATATGACCCAGTGACTAAGTCTAAGAGTAAGGGCAGACACAAGGACAATTCTAGTAGCAGGGTTTTGATTATCTCTTCATGCTGCATATAGGGAGTTGTTAGGCAGATTCCGATAGCGAGGCCAATCTTGGTTATAACCTCTTTATAGGCCCGCCCCTCAGCTCTAGGAATCAGCCCCTCAGCTGTAGGAATCAGCCCCTCAGCTCTAGGAATCAGCCCCTCAGCTCTAGGAATCAGCCCCTCAGTTCTAGGAATCAGCCCTTCAGACAAATGATGTTAACTATCTAGAATCTCAACTCCTAAAGTATGCTTCATATGAAAAATTAAAGGGGTCCCATTTGAGCCCCATTTCTCTCTGCCTCAAAGGGGCTCCATATGAGCCCCAACCCTTTCCTTCATAGGGACTCCATATGAGCCCCATCCCTCTCCTTCAAAGGGCCCCCATATGAGCTCCATCCCTCTGCCTCAAAGGGGCTCCATATGAGCCCCATCCCTCTCCTTCAAAGGGGTCCCATATGAGCCCCATCACTCTACCTCAAAGGGACCCCATATGAGCCCCATCCCTCTCCTTCAAAGGGACCCCATATGAGCCCCATCCCTCTACCTCAAAAAGCCCCATATGAGCCCTATCCCTCTCCTTCAAATGGCCCCCATATGAGCCCCATCCCTCTCCTTCAAAGGGCTCCATATGAGCCCCATCCCTCTCCTTCAAAGGACTCCATATGAGCCCCATCCCTCTGCCTCAAAGGGGCTCCATATGAGCCCCATCCCTCTGCCTCAAACAGGCTCCATATGAGCCCCATCCCTCTACCTCAAAGGGGCCTAGAAACTTTGCTTGACAAAATAAGAACCCCAACGCTAAAAGATGTTCCAGATCAAATTTGGTCAAAATCCCTTTAAATAAAAGTTTTTGAAAGGAAGAGATGAAGATGAGTGACGACTGACAGATCTAGAGCCATGCCATAATAACATCACATGTGCCTTTTACCCAAGTGAGCTAAAAGTAAAATGGGGAAAAAAACTTTCCAGAATGATAGTTCATATATCTGTTCTATATTTCACAGGAATATTAATAAATATTTCATGAGCATTTTCTTTATCACTGAAATCTTTTTCATAGAAATAGGTTTTCAAGATACACTGTAACCATGAAAACATAACATGAATATTCATGATCTTAAAGTGACTAACCCAATACAACACATAGTAACAACAGTTAAACCCATCGAGCACTGTAAACATGTATAGGTAATAAGATCCTAATTAAAACCACCAATTATAGACAGGAATTATTTACACGCATCATATCACAACAACACTGATGTTGAAACAGGTATATGTTAATCATCCTTTTGGTGTATGATTTCACTGGTACTGCAATACTACAATCAATAACATCAAGAAAAAATATGTGCATCTTTTAAAAACAAAATGAGTAGAAAATGTGTTTTAGAAACAAAATGAGTAGAACATGTGTTTTAAAATGTTTATGACCATAAAACCAATTATTGCCACAGTTTTGCTGAACTATATGATAACAGCATAAATTAAAACATAAAATTATGTGAAAACTAGAAATGTTTTTGTGAACAAAAACATGTCTCCTTATTAACCCATACGCATATTTGGGAGATTATTCAAGGTGACACAAAATTAAGTAGATAATAACTTTTACTACAACTGATATACTAAAGACATTTAAACTGTTCCACAAAAAGTAAAAATCTTATAAACAGGACAAAAAATACATATAATTTTGCAGAATTATGTAAATATTGTAATATTATATAAATGTTGTATATCAAGTGGCCATTGTTAGATGGTGACTGGAGAAATGATGTGCACTGCTTGTTACAATAATAGTAGGCAGGGTTTGTTTTATAGCTGTGTTTGCTTTTAGGAATAAAATATATTCCTCTTTGTTGATGCCAGATGATTTCTGTAACAAATTCTGTGAAAAAACAACTGTTATACTGTCTCAAACACTGTTGGTACATGTAGGTTATCTACAACCTAGTAAAAGAAAAGTAAGTTTACCAAATATCTGTTAATTTAATCAATCCTCAGAAACCCATACATAGCATTATAACCTAGACTTTTAAATTGGCTTCATTATAAATTACCCCAGCCTGTGGTCATTGACCTTCAAAGGCCAAACATGTACACTGTCAAACCAGGCAAAGAACTGGAAGCTAAGGACAGACCCTCAAATCCAAACAACACTGGTATAAAATATGAACAAAGGGCCATAACTCTGTATTTACTTGTAAATTTCTGCAAGCAGAGTTTTTTGCCTTTCCGAAAATAGACAATATAAGTTTATAGAACTCACCCTACATGTATATGCATCTTGGATTGCTTGTACAGATGTTCCTTATCATTGAGGGTTTAAGTGGGTTTCTGATGTGGGAAGTGAAATTGTCAATCACTTGCAAAATTTTCCTAGTGGCTAAAAGTAGTTAGATTTGACCTCTCAAAATGTCCTGGACAATGAACAAGTCTCAATGAAGGTTAGTTGATAATTATGTCTTCTTCTTCCTAGCAACAGATGCTACTCTCATCCATTTATAACAATTAATTATAAGTCAACATTTACAAATACCCATTACCAAATTATTAATCAAATATATCTGGAGGGGATGTGCAATTTTTTTGACAATATTGATCAATTATGCACTTTAATTTCATATTAAAAGTAAACGACCAAGAATATAGATTCAACAGTTTTCATTTTCTCCAGTTTTTCATAAATAGTGCATGATTCATCATTTATAATATGGTTGTGTACATATAGTATAGGAGCACAATTATTTTGAAAGTTTAACTCAGAGTCATCAAGAGGGGAAGCATTGTAAACAGTGAAGTGGCTTAACCCTTTCACCACTGTAGACCATAATGGACTCGTCCAGATCAAAGCATGGAAGAGTTTACTAAAGTTACATAGGGGTGAAAGGGTTAGTATAAACTTCAGCTGGGTGGCAGTAACTTCTTTAGCAATGATTTGAAAACTGATTAAGAAAATGAAAGAAAACATCCTCAAATAGACATACCATCAAAATATTTTCATATTTATTAGAGTTTGTATAAATTTCCACTATTATTGACGAAGTTTCTTTCCAAACATTATCCAAGTTAACATGTTTCCCTTGCAGAATGTATTGTACATTCTTTCAGAATGAACTAATAACTAATTTGTCCTATCACATATTTTTAATCAAAGCATTATTATCGCCAAACTAAATAAGTGTGCTCCAGTATGTACGTTTAAAAAAGAAATAATGAAAATTAAAGAAATCAATAATACCTGTTCGATTGCCAAAACCGACTACAGTGTAACAAACAATGGGTGAACCAAAAAATGAAAGTACAGTTAATATAGAACGGAGATTTAGGTAAGATCGCTGAAGAAATGAAGTGACTAGGCTGATAAAGAACCATTAATTGAAATATCACAAAATCTTCAATAATTTTCATATTTGCAAAGACAATATTCATAAATAGATTGTCTTGCTATGACTCGACATCTAAATTCATGTTGAAACATAAGCCCTCATAAATATTTGCTTAAGGGTTAATATACATGCAGAAAAAGTTGAAGAAGTAAAATTATATTAAAGCTTAGTTATTTGTTCTGATTGTAAATGAGCATAATTGGTAAATTCTGATCAAGCATGAATACAAGATATAAAATAAACCAAAATTTCTTACCGATTGCCACTCCTGTGCATCGTCTTCAGGTTTGGTGCGAACTTTTTTCACTTCTTCCGACATTTTTATTTGCATGGTCGCTACTTTGGCCATGTCATTGGAGGAATTCACTTTCACAAACTGTAGAGGGTTGGCATTGGCAGTGCTGGATTTCCTCTCCTGTGAGCGTGTTGGAATGGAAACTTTTGTACTATCCGACGACTGACGGGAGTGTCCGTCCATACTGTCCGTGGAGGATGTTCGAGTATGGCTGTTTCTGTGTGATAAGTCCGGAGTGCTCTGATATAGGGAATCATCCTCCGAATTCCTCGCCAATGAGAAGTCGCCGCTTCTATTAATAGACGAGGTACTATCGGCCCTGCGCATTTGTACACCTGGCATGTTGGCTTCTTCTAGCGAAAAACTTAACTCCGATTCTCGTGAATTTGACAATGACCCGTACGAGTCGTATGCGCTATCTCGTATGTGTTTGGTGTCAAATGACGGTCCTACACTGTCGTGTATCTCGTGTAACCCATATGAACTTGACTGCTCGCCGTATTCACAAATATCCTGATGAAACTGCTCTTCCGATATCAGGTCTTTTCCATTGTGGTGCACAAGGGGGGTGAATGCACTGAAGTCTAGGTGTGGCCCAGAATAGGTATTGTACACACTTTTACCTAGCCAATAAATCCCAATAGCTACCTGTGGAAAACAACGGGACAGTTTGGTTGATATCAACAAAAGTGATTTAGCGATTATAAATAAATACAATTAAGATATATACCAAATTTAGTGCAATGAAGGTGCATGTTGTGATTAATTAGAATTTTCATGTTAAATCACACAGTATAAAGCAAACAAAATTACTTACAATATATACAGATGAAAATGGAGTTTTAGGAAAATATGATAAGAGAATATGACTGTATCAATAGCAACATGATATTAAGTGACTTTGATATTAATAGAAATATGGCAGGAAGGAATATGACATTAAGTAAAATTTACTAAACAAGAGGCACTCATAAGAAATGGGGATAGTTATAAGATCAAATACGGTAATGTACATCTTCCCATATTACACTTTTATTAAAATCCATAGTTATAGTGAAAAACAGTGTGAACAATCATTAAAGGAAATTTTCAGAAATTTCATCAGCAAAAATCAAAAAATATTTTTTAATGACGTAAGGAACATATTACTGTTCAAAAATTGGATTAGCAATTTATCAGGATAATTTATGGGACATGCCTCATAATATCTAAGTCAAATTAAAGTTCATCAGATCATTTGTTCATTATGAAAAGCATAGTGGATGGATAAATGGGATTCCACAGTTCAAATAATACCTGTACAGAAACCTGATCCTAACATTCATCACACCAATTCCATTAAATCAATGATAAAGATTCGTTTGTTCCTTTACTCCACCCTAGATAAGAATCTGAGTTATGTATATAATTATAGCTACATACATACGTACATCTGCCACCCACACTGTAAACACTAACTGTTTGCTATTCCGGCTACAATTGTTTAATTCTGATCAAGGTTCACCCTAGATAAGTCAGTCTGTACCGTGTAGGACTCATGTGTCGTCGTAATTCAGGCCGTACCCACATTTTTGACTTCTGTAGATACATGTATACATATATAACTGTCAACCCACTAACTCTATAGACACATTGTAATCATGTGATCAATTCAACTGACATCAACAAAATGTTTTAATCAATAGCATGTATTGAGCAATGCAGTTAAGCTCTTCAAGGATCTGACTGGGTGGAGCAGCTGGTTAGTCGAGTCGATAGTCCGGCTGGTCATTAATGCTCTGTAACCATGGATCTGTTTAACCATGATGAATGAACAACTATATAATCACATGAAATGCTGAATACCTGTTATGTTGTTATGTAAATAAACTCAGCATTCTTAAAGAAATCAGCAAAGAGCCATAACTCTGCTAATACAGAGGGTCATGTCGCCAAATTTCACTATGTGACACATGTACTCTGCCTTTTCATAAGGAACTCAAATATAAAATTTTGTAATTGCAGGTGACACATTACATCAAGAAAGGGGTGCGCATTATACAGAAGAATAATCCAAAACCAGTCCTGGGTCACAAACATTTATCGTCAATCTAATTCTGGAAAAAAAATCTCAATAATTTGAAAAAGCAAAAATATATATATTTGCATTTTTTGTCCACCAGAAACTATGTATACCTGTACATTATTCCGTCTTTGCATATTGCAGTTATCTTCTCTTGGAAGCAGGTATTGATTGTTACGTCACTTGTTTGTGAGAGTAACGTCATCAATTTTTGAGAAAACGACGTAATTTTCTCACACAAACCAATGACGTAACAATCAATCCCTGCTCCGAAGAGAAGATAACTCTGCAATACACAAAGACGGAATACACGAGTGAGCATAATATGCAAATATTTGCGGTATACAAGACAATGACCTGAACCATGTGTTGCAGTAAACAAAGGGCTATAACTCTGTTTTTAGTGAGGCACAAGACCAGACTTTAGTAAACCTGACTTTGCCACCCCAAGAGGTTGCATTGACATTAGACTCAAGGAACTAGAATCACTCACATGTGATTTAAATCATTCTGAAAGATTAAATGGTAAATTATGAAATAAAACCTGGAATCTTGTTTTTTGGATATTAAATTATCTTATTATCTCTTAATTCAGTTTAAAAAAAACTCTGATGAAAGTTGAGAAGGGCTTGAAATATCAGCCAATCGAAGGATAGGCAAACTATATTGGGATTTAGTTATGACAATACCTGGTGTAATTTGAGAGTAACTGATTAAGCCAATCAAGTATGCTCAGTAAAAACAATACATTAGTGGTCATACAGTCATGTAAATAAAACTTTTATGACAAAACTTTTGAGGTATTATAATTTGTATGATTTGAAGATCTCCATCTTCCAGGAAATGAATAGACCCCAACTTCCCAGGATATGGAGGTAATTTCTCTCTGGAAGAGGACGATCTATCTTTCTATAATTTGAATGTCTCTCTGTTCCAGGGGCTGAAGATGTTTCCTTTCCAGGGGCTGAAGATGTTTCCTTTCCAGGGGCTGAAGATGTTTCCTTTCCAGGGATACCATGCAGGGGTTGCTCTTTTCCAGGAGATTTGATGACAATCTTTCCAGAAGCTGTTTGATATGTCTTTTCCAGGAGATTTGATGACAATTTCCAGAAGCTGTTTGATATGTCTTTTCCAGGAAATTGGTATATGTTTCAATAGAGTTAGCAATATCTCCTGTCTACAGATGAGAATATTCTTTTAACTCATTCCCCCCTGAAGACACATTTGAACTCTTCCGATTCAAAGGTTGGAATAGTCCATTATGAAATTTCAGGGGTTAATGAGTTAAGAGTTTATATAATTTCATGAAATGCTGAGTAGCACATTTTATGTTGTTATGGAAATAAGTTATTTATAAATTCCTTTCTGCAGGAATAGAATATCTTTCCATTCAGTTAGCGATATCACCTTTCTGGAGGTGAGCTAGCTAGGATACTCTTTTAAGGGTTTCTACATGTATAGAAAAATGAATTGGTAACAGTGTTGCTCTTAGCCTTGCAATTATTATTTATTTCAAAATTTTGAGCTATACGTGGAAAGCTTTCACCGACAATTGATCCCATGGCAGTATTCACATTGTTGTAACATCTGGTGTCAAACATCTGGCTTGGTATTGAATATTAAGATCATACTTATTGATCACAAAAGAATTTACAAAATGTAGTTCATAATATTGGAAATCAACGAACCGTAGACTAGCGAACCCACTAGGAGAAATAATGTTCACTGTAGAGTGTACATTTAAAAAGTGTTTCTGCTTCAATATTTTAATGATCATGAGGAATATGAAATCAGTCTGAAAACTGAAAATTGTGCGAGGAGTTTTATGCTATATTCAAGTAGCCAATCTGTAGATGAAAATCTCCCTGCAGGAGGGACCGTTGACTGGTAGTACTCTCCCTAAATGCCAAAAATGAAATTCCAGATCACTGACATTTTTCTAACCTGAGAATATTCCAATTTCTTTTTACGTTTTACTTACATTAGAGCTGCAAAGCCTGTTCCTTTAACTACTTCACCCCTGAAGACACATTTGAACTCTTCCAATTCAAACGTTGGAATAGTTTATTATGAAACTTCGAGGGTGAATGATTTTATCAATTTTCTTTTAAAAAGAAGTGATCAATGATATGAAAATTTGAGAACATCTTCAGGAAATGGATGCTGTCATGGCACTGTGATTGACTTATAAATAGCAAGTGACCTTTGGACCCTGAAATATGAACTCTTCTGAGGTACTCATTTGGGACTTTTTACCTTGAAGGTAAACAAAGTTGGACAAAAAAAATATATCAATAGAAATCAGGAAAACTCGTATAAATGACTGGTGTTGATTATTTCTACAGAAGCCATATAAATCATATCCAAACTAACATAAGAAAGAGTTTTCAGTTTACAAATAATAATTCTGCCAAATTTTGTCGAGCCACCTGCTTTGGAACAGTAAAAGCAAATTGATATGATAAATTGCCAAAACTGATATTCTTTTTCCATAAGGTAACAAGACTTCCATTTACTGCTGATATAGCAAAAAAAAAAAAAGTTTTCTTATACATTTAAACGACCATGATTATCATTGACAACAATCTTTCTGGTCCGCCCTTGCCTTTACAAAATACCTACTGTATCTGTTACCTATAGCCAGGTAAAAACTGTGTTTATAATCATCAATGAGCTAGTGTAGTTCCTTAGTTTTCTTACACCAGTATTCCTGTTTTTTCCCATTATTTTTTCTAAATTCAAAATTGAACTTTTTATACTTTACAAAATCTATGAAACAAGTTTTATCAACTGATTTTTATCACTTTTGTCGGCTCAGCAGGAAGCAGCAGGGGGTTTTAATACCGATTCGGGAACCAATGTACCTGGAGAAAATCCATGTGGTCGGGCAGGTGACCCCATACCTTTCCACGCCCAATTGGGGAATTCCAACCCCGGTCATCCTAGTGAAAGGTCAGTCGACTACCCAAAATGTGCCAACCGACTACCTTCAATCTGGCTTTCCTTTTTGCTTGCTTGGTAATATCTTATAATAAATCATTCTTAACCCTTTCACCCCTATGTAACTTTAGTAGACTCCACCATGCATTGATCTGGATGAGTCCATTATGGTCTACAGTGTTGAAAGGGTTAAGTATGTTGATTTTTTGCCAATTTTTGTGTCTTTTGTTTGAAAATCAATCGATAACCTCCATTAAGAGGAAATAAAGTTTGGTTATGATAAAGATAGTAATGGGTACCATGTACTTACATTTCTCGCCCGGCGATCTGACTCCTGCTTCAAGATGTGTTCTGATCTGGAAAGAGAATGTTTAAGTTTAGTTTGTAATATGAAATGGTTAACTGCATGTATTTAAACATAGATTCATCAATGTGTGAAACAAAACTTTAATAATTCCCGATATAAGGTATGATAAGTGTCATACCAGAATATAGAAGCTGTCAACAGATGCACACCACCTGTGTATCTATATATAACAGCAACTTCATACAGCAATGGACCATTTTAACGCGAGCTACATTATGTATACTTGAGTGAGTATAATGTAACTGACAGCATTAACAGAGCATTGTCATATATTTTCACTAAGAATCCTAACTAAGCTAATAATGTTAACTACCTATGTGTATATCACCTAGCTGAAAGTTACCTGTGTGAACAACCTGTATAAGCTACAGAGCTACATGTGCGAACTACCTGTGTTAACTACCTGAGTAAGTTACATGAGTGAACTACCTGAGTAAGTTACCTGGGTGAACTACCTGAGTGAGTTACCTGAGTGAACTACCTGAGTAAGTTACCTGAGTGAACTACCTGAGTAAGTTACCTATGTTAACTACCTGAATAAGTTACCTGAGTGAACTGCCTGAGTGAGTTACCTGAGTGAACTACCTGAGTGAGTTACCTGAGTGAACTACCTGAGTAAGTTACCTGAGTGAACTAACTGAGTAAGTTACCTAGGTTAACTACCTGAATAAGTTGCCTGAGTGAACTGCCTGAGTGAGGTACCTGAGTGAACTACATGAGTAAGTTACCTGTGTGAACAACCTGGATAAGCTACAGAGCTACATGTGCGAACTACCTGTGTTAACTACCTGAGTAAGTTACCTGAGTGAACTACCTGAGTGAGTTACCTGAGTGAACTACCAGCATGTATAGTTTCCTGTGTAAACTACCTGTGAGAGTTTCATAGCTTGGGGAACATGTGTGAGTTATGTGAGAGCTACTTATGTGAGAGTGACCTACTTGTGTGTGATCAGATACCTACTAGCTTAGCTACCCTGTTGTGTGAGCTACTTATGGGGGAGATCAGCGTAAAATCTACCTGTATGATTCAATTACCCATGAAAGTTACATAATACCTGTACGAACCACCGGTGAAAGCTATAGGTATGTGAATTATATATCGCTTATCTATCTTGAACCTACTTAGGTGAGCTACCTTGCGTTACAAGTTATTTCTGTGAGCTGTACCTACTCTGTATGAGCTATGTATAGTGCAAGATAACTGTGAACAACCCTGTTGAACTGTTTATGTTACCTGTGTGATCTATAGCTACCTTTGTCTTACAGGTACATGTACACATGAAAGTCCATCGGCCTTAATCACCCGAACAATACATTGTTGTAGCATATACATTCCACAGATGTAATATTGTTTACAGCATGAGAATACAGTTTGCACTAGTTGACATGTTTCACAGCTTTTAACTCATTCACCCCTGAAATTTTATAATGAACTAGTCCAACCTTTGAATTGGGGGAGTTCAAATGCGTCTTCAGGGAAGTATGAGTTTATACTGATATGCCACTTGTCTCACAATTCTGAACATCATTATTATGAAATCACAGGTCATGTAAGTGTTCAATGGTTAGCAATCCTTTCAACAACAATCAAGGTGAAACACATAAAGTTGTTTTTTTCAGTCATTAGGACTGGCAACTTGCATGACATGACAAATTTATTACAGGGTGTTTAAAGCAATGATATATATCTGGTTTGTAAGGTTTCTGGAATCCTTATACCTTGGCTTGTGTGTGTGGGGGGGGGGGGGGGAGTTGAAAAGTATAAATAATAGAAAAATAAAGACAAACTTATTTGCTCCCTCCATCCAAACTCATCAGTATCTCAATTTTCTTTTTTGGGGTACACAAGATGACACTGTGTAGGGGCCAGAAATCACCTTCAAGAAGACAAAAAGGAATTCCCAAAAATTGAAGGGGTAGGAGGGGGTGACGGGCCTGGTGAATGAGGACTGAACACACATCTACCTGGAACTCAGTTCCTGCTTCTGAAGTCAGATAGCACCAGATGATGTCATACAACCAGCCTACCATGACCTTATTTACAGCTCAAGCTTCAACCTAGAAAAAGGCACTTACATATTTAACTGTTCAACGATTCATTAACACCTTTGCTCTTGCTATTTAATTCTCCCTACCATAATAATAACTTCTAATATATCACCTTCCCCCCCCCCCCCCCCCCCCACTTCTATATATACTAAAATTACCATTAATTACAAATATGTATGCTAAAAAATTAATTCCCATTAAATTAAATTCCATTCACACAAGACATTTCTCACCTGTAGTGAATTAATTATAATGTCTTAATTAACATTTAAAGTACACCGGCCTAGACACTGTTTGATTATTAACATTCAAATCAAAATTAGTAGCTGTTCAGTGAAGGTGTTGTAGAACAGGTGACTACAGGTACCTCGTATGTTTCTGCCACTAACACTCACCTGTCAGTCTAATCACCTGTCAATTAATTGACACAAAAACAGAAATATTCGTTCAAACTTGTCACTTTGTAGGGGGACATTTTTAGACCTTGTACATGTATATTGTAACAAACAAAAAAAGATTCTTAAATTAGTTTTAGATTCATTTCTTATGGAAACTCACATCTAATAATATTTCAACAAAACCTTAAGCTTGTCTACACTAAAACAGTAGCATGTCACTAAGTTGGACATACTTGTCAACTTTATGAAATTTCCATGGGGGAGATTCTGCATGCTCAAAATTAAAACATATATGAAATGTGTGTACACACACACACACACACACACACACACCCTATAGACAAAATAACCCTTTAAAATGACATATTTTTAGTTGCCCTAACTTTCAGATGAAATTATAACATAATAGAATCTTAAAGTAGTTATAGATTCATTTCTTATGGAATTTCTTACATTTAAGAATACCTTAATAAAATCTTGTCTATCCTAACACAGTATTTGTATCAATCTTACGGGGCAGTGCGTTTATTTAATGAATTAGGTTTCAGTGTGGGATTCATAACCTGTGGCAATATGGATTTTTTTGACAAATTTGTGTGTTTAGGGGGTTGGGGGTTGGGGGGAGTAAGTGTGTGTATATGTATGTGTTGTGGGGAGGGGGAGATATCCAAAGATGTCTGGCTCTATATGTGAGCGGGACATCGAGTAAATTATAAGGAGGTACTAATTATAGGTGTGTTACAATTGCATATGAGCACATGCGTGTCTGTGTAGGGGAATAAGTATGCATGTGTGTGGTGGGGATCATCTAAATATATATCCAGAGGGGAAGGGGAGTCACACATTATTACAATATATGTGTGCATGNGGGGGGGGGGGGGGGGGGGGGGGGGGGGGGGGGGGCCTGGGATCTTGAAAGGACTAACTATCGAGGCAATGTCAATTCAAACACTCGGAGCTGCTATTATGTAACAGTGTCATGAACATTTATGGCCTCTTAGCTCATTAATATCCACTTCTATATACCAGAAACTTGTCAAAGCTGAAGCATCATCCCATCCAATCATACTTAATACTTTGTGGCAACAAGAAAAAAGCCAAATATTACAAAATTCAGTATATCCTGTTATAGTGTATATATATGTTTAGAAATATCAGTATGTCCTATTAAATAAAATAGTTACTTTCAAAAGAATTTAAGTAATCAACATGATAATACCAAAATAATGAGCAACCTTCTTACCTTACATGACAAGAACATTAGACTAGAGAAGTAATGTCCATGTGATAAATGAATTAATTCACACAACAGAAGGTAAACACGGATTTCAGTTCCACACACCTTATCTGTGGTCCTGGCTCGATAGCACTAGTCCTCGTCTATGTCCATATAAAGAAATGGAAGTTAAAAATCCGGGCCGATGATAACCAAAACAGCATGTAAGCTTTTACTAAACCTGTTCGCAGGTAAACAACGAAGGTATGTTCAATCCTTACTTGTACAGCTAAGTATAGATATGTAAATGAGTCCAGAACAGGTAAGGCCGAGCACAGGTAAGCTGTGGCATAATACATTCTAGTTCGCTAGCCCAATAATGTCACACCAACTCCCTCTGTTTGGCCCCGGATCAAGTCCAAACAATCGTGGACAATATTATAGCAATGAAATAACACAGGAATGTTGATGGATTACCGGGTCGTGCAAACAGCCGGCTGCATATCCTACCTTTAGTAACCTGGCCCCCAGTATACAGGAGCTCATCCGACAATACACTGTTTACACTAATAGAACAAATTCCTGATTTACCAGGCACATACTGACCTTTTCTCCAGCAATGGACACAGAATTCATTATTATTTTACAACAGGCGATTGACACAGACTTCCTAAACTCAAGTCTCCCATCCTAATTGGGTCTGCCTCTGATCCATGTACAAGCATGCATACCTAATGAACGGTCGTTGTGTACAGTTGCTTTATTATTAAAGAGGATCACAACAAAGATATTCTGGCTGGAATGTATGTACGTGTATGAGTGACTCCAACACCACCAAATATCAACTAGCCAGTTTATGGACTTTTTCGTCAGTAAGTCAATTCTATAAATGAGATTAAGTTAATCCTTACGATAGCCCCAGGCCAAACACGTTATATTGTCCCGTTTCACGCTCTAATATCTACTTTGTTCCCTTCCACAAAAAGAGAAGAAGAATACATTTAATGCAGTATATTGTATTCAATCTGATATAATACACGATCAGGCTGAAATGACGATTGTTTCACTCGGACAAAAAGTTAATACATATAATCTCTACAGTTAGTCATGTACAGACATTCACATGCCTGGTAATAAGCCCTCCCCTATCTTACTGCAGATCAGTAGAAATACCAACAAGTCTTAAATGTTTGGTAATAAACCGCTCCGACTATTTTGAGTTATAGATTATGTGTTGACACCCCAGGCTTATTGCAGGATAAATATGGTATTATGTCTACATGTAGTTTAATATTTAACATGTCACTAAATTAATATTTTAAAAAG